ATCCTCATGCACCCCGATGATCGCGAGAAAACAGCATTTATCACAGACCGAGGTATCTACTGCTACAAAGTCATGCCCTTCGGACTCAAAAACGCTGGCGCAATGTATCAACGGCTCGTCAACAGGATGTTCTCCGAGCAGCTCAGGAAAATGATGGAAGTTTACATCGATGACATGCTAGTAAAATCCCTCGAAGAAAATGACCACATAGCCCATCTACGCGATTGCTTTCGCCAGCTAAACCAGCACAATATGAAGCTCAACCCGGCAAAATGTCGCTTCGCGGTAAAGTCGGGTGAATTCCTGGGATATCTCGTAACTCACCGAGGCATTGAGGTGAATCCAAAGAAAATCAATGCTTTACTAAACATGCCCTCGCCGCAGAATAAGCGAGAAGTTCAGCGCCTTACTGGGAGAGTCGCTGCCCTAAACTGATTCATCTCCCGTTCAACCGATAAATGCCTGCCTTTCTACGACACTCTGCGTGGAAACAAGAAGTTCGAATAGACCGATCGCTGCAAAGAAGCTTTCCAAGAACTAAAGAAGTACCTGGCTAATCCACCGGTGTTAGCAAAACCAGTCCCATGCGAACCGTTGTTCCTGTATATCGCCGTCTCGGACACTGTAGTAAGTGGGGTCATAGTCAGAGAAGACAGAGGAGAGCAGAAGCCAATATTCTATGTCTCACAAACTTTCACCGACGCAGAAACACGCTACCCACAAACTGAAAAACTCGCCCTCGCCGTAGTAATGTCATTTCGGAAGTTACGGCCGTATTTCCAGTCTCACTCAATTGTCGTCATGGCGCCCGTATCACTCCGAACCATCTTGCACAGTCCGAGCCAGTCAGGACACCTGGCTAAATGGGCAGTAGAACTCTGTGAGTATGACATCGAATACAGAAACAAGACGTGCGCAAAATCCCAAGTCTTGGCAGACTTTATCATCGAGCTGCCATGAGAAAATGTCCATTTGGACCCTCCATGTTGACGGTTCGTCCTCAAAACAAGGTTCTGGCGTCGGGATTCGCCTAGCATCACCAGGAGGTGAAAGCCTCGAGCAATCTTTCGGCTAAACTTCGATGCGACTAACAACGTGGCGGAATATGAAGCACTGATAGCGGGGCTGAAGTTGGCCCGGGGACTTAAGATCAGCAAGCTACGAGCCTTCTGCGTATCTGGCTCTCACGCAAGACTTGGCAAAACTGTTGGGGTCGGATTCCATCCTTTAGCGCCGAGCCAGACTTGGAGCACCTCGGGGAACTTTTTAGAGATCACCTCGGGGCGTTGCATCATCCACCTCGGGAAACACCCAAGGTCCACCTCGGGGTCTGACAGCAAGCTCTGGTACCCGAGCCGATCCTCCTCGGATACCCGAGCCATTTTTCTTCAGATGCCCGAGCTGTTTCTGTTCATGTACCCGAGCCGGTCCTCTTCGGGTACCCGAGCCATTTCTCCTCGAATACCCGAGCCCTGTCAACAAGGGTACCCGAACCCGGTCGTCTCAAAGTCTCCTCGGTTCGGGATCGCGTATCACGTCGATATCCTCCAAGCCACCCGAGGCAAGGACTTTGTAAAATATTCACCCTCGAAGTACCATTTCCAAGCAAAGCACCATTTCCAAAAAAGAAGGATCATTTCCGATAAACTCGAAAATGATAAGGGAGAATCTCGAAGGATCAACTCAAATCAGGAAAACTTCCAAAAAGCCCGAAGAATAAGGAAACTATCCTAATCCGCGATATTCAGAGCCGACTTAAAGATAAATGGAAATCTTCCGAGAATATCGCTGGAGAGGCGGTTTATCATCCCTATATAAAGAGACTCAAGGCTCTCACAGAGGAGGAGGCAAGATCGCTCTAGAATTTAGATTACACAAAGCTCTTAAGCACAAACACTTTTTCTTTTACGATAAAACTCTTGTATGATCAAAGTCATCTTTTTCCTAATAATATCAAAAACACCATCTTTGGTTTCAATCCGTTCTGTTGTTCTTTGAAAATTCACGTTCATTGTATCCCTAAAATAAAACCCTAGACAAATCTTGATTGTGTTTGTTTCGACTTCCACAGAACCTAAATCGAAACTTGATCAATTGATCATGAGCCGTTGATTTATCGAGCTCCACATCGAAACCGCGACTAACAGGCAGCAGCTGAGATAATCGAACGGCAATCTTCAATTTCCACCACGATTGGACCCGATGAGCTTTTTTTCTAGTCTACTGCTTGGATTGATCCTGAGCCATTGATTTATCCAATAATATTATATCCCACGGTTTAGCATAAGAGATATTAATTGACAAAAACAAGTGGGGGTGCGGGGAATTGAACCCTATGCATCTCGCATGCGAAGCGATAGCTCACTTCTATTGATTAAATTAATTGAGAAAATTGATTATCATAAACATATTCATTATTATCAATTTTATTATATAAAGTATGATTTTCAAAGTTAGTAATTCACGAGATCGTGTCACGTGTTTTCTTAATTGAGATATCGACACATGTTAAATCTAATTTTGTTAATCTATTTAAAAACAAAAACAGAAAATTTCGTATACTAATATCTAAAGTTTAACTCACATAATAGTAATAATTTAGTTTTTTTTAAAAATTAACTCACATGATTTAAGGATATTTATATAGATAAATTGAGATGAGAGATAGAACATTCATATAAAAAAATGTGTGGATTTTTACTTAAAATTTTAATATCAGAAAAAATTAAAACAATAAGATGGAGTATGTAGAATTTTTTTTTTTAGCTCTTATACATAAAGATGGTGTGTATAGAATTAAACAATTTATTATCATGAAATAAATAGTTAAATTATGTTGCAAAATAGAATGTTTCAGATTGAAATTTGGTTTTAAAAATAGATTAAATATAGAAAAAATGTATATTACTACCTTTTTTTTTACATCTTTGAATCTACAAGACCCGATCCATAGCCAATCCCTACTATGCGGGGTAACACGGCTTAGTAGAGTTAAACTCCGGTGGGGAAGGTGGAGTCAAATGGACTTAACCACTTGACTAAAGACACATCCCCATGTATATTACTATCTATAATTCAAATTTTATATTAAAAAATTATATCTATTTCTCACATCCGCCAAAATAGGCGGGCCTAAATTAGACACTAATGAAATTTATTGATCAGATGTTGGCATATGTCAAAAAATATTTAACTTTTTTTTCCTTGAAAAAATAGAAAACTAAAAAAAGAAAACATAAATCATATAATAATTTATATGTCTATATCTAAGAAAATTCTTAACCAAAAAAGTAATGTGACTATGATTGTTTAAATTGGTAATATGACCATTGCATAAAAATATTTAATCAGAGACAATTTATAACAAAAGATACACATAAAATTAAGATTTTTTTATTGTCTTATTATTTAGATCCTTGAATATTTGTTTTGATCCTCAACTCTCTCCGGAAAAAACTCTTCTGCCACTTCCACCACCACGTCCTTAGACACTTCTCGGGCACCATCAATCGATGCTGCATTCGCCAAAACCACTAAATCTCCAAAAGACAAATGTTGAAGAGTAGGAGACAAGTTGTTGTTCCTAAGAAACCTAGTGCAACCTCCAAGACTAGACTCGTTAACTCTTTTCTTCCTTTTATAAATTTGGTACAATTCAAGACCTTTGTTCAATTTAGCTTCTTTAAGAACCTTTGAATATTTAGATCCTTGAATATTTTTTTTAAAAAGATACACATAAAATTGAGATTTTATTATTGTCTTATTATTTAGATCCTTGAATATTTGTTTTGATTACATGCAAACAAGAAAATAATACATGTTTGGACTTGTATATCTAAAATATGTGTAGTTCAACAGTTGTACAAATATATGAAAAAAAAGAGTTGTCGCTTGGATCCCGATGTCATAGAGACGGAGCGGCAAAAATCTTGTACCATTCTCCTTTGCTAATATTGTCATAGAAGTATCACCAAATCATTGCAAATTTAAGTTCTAACAAAGAGTGATACAAGTTATTAGGGTTTAATGTATATTTGAGTATTATGTTGGATTCATAGAACCAAATAACAAGTAAGAGATACATTAATACCTAATAAAAAAATGCATAACTGCAAAGAGATACAAAGACTCAATGAGTGGTACAACATTCCCAAGCCTTAAGGTTTTATATTAATCCTAAAATAAATTTTCGTGATACATTAATACCGCAAAGAGATATTCTTTCGTCCTACTTTGGCATGATTAATGATCACGATGCTAAATTTGGTAATAATGGTAAAGCATAATTTTTTTTTGCCAATAAATTATTTTTTATCCTAATCTTAAGTAATTAATTAACAAATTTTGTACGGAATTTAATCAAAAAAAAAGTTGATAAGCTAACATATATTTTCAAATGTGCAGTCCACATCTATATTATTTATGGTGGAGTTTGATGTTAAACGATATGTAGTTCAAATATAAAAATCGAACTATATATCGATTTTTTTTTCTATCATAAATTTTGAAATCCAACATCTCTAAACTATAATGCTTTTAAATATAAAAATCGAACTATATCATAAATTTTGAAATCCAACATCTCTAAACTATAATGCTTTCAAATATAAAAATGGAACAATATATCTATTTTTTTTCTATCATAAATTTTGAAATCCAACATCTCTAAACTATAATGCATTAAATAGATCATATTTATTTGAATAGACTAGATAATATTAGGCATACTAGCTCAAATGCTGGTAAGATGATGACAAGTTTGATGGACAACCGATCCAGTTATTCGTGGGCCTTCAATATTTGGGCCGAAACTAAAATGGGTCGTACCTTTTTTCTAATTTTCTATAGCGACGAGGGTAGGGCCCACCAAGACCATATAGCGTTCAAACAAGTAGGAAAAAAACATTTTTGTCTCTTTTTTTCGTAATTCGAACCGCGTAATTAGCCTTTGTTTTTTCTCAGAATCTAAAAGCAAAAACAGTGAGCAAAATCGTGCGACTGGGACAAGTTTCGAATTTCTTCTCTTCCGGCGAGAGACTCAAACTTCCGCCTCCAATTTCTCGCCGTGAATCTGAGTTTTCTTCGTGGAATTTTAACAAAACCAGTCGTCATACAAGTTTCTCATGGCGTTTTAGGTTCGTATCGTTTTTTTTTTTGCCTTTGTCTCTGTGTTACAAAAGCGTAGAATGGTTTCTTAGGGTTTTTGAATGGATCTGCGTGATTTTGGTGGAATTTAGAGCTGATTCTATGGGTTGATTTGGTCGACATTGTGGTTATTTGCTAAGCTAGATGTTGAAATGTTGGAACAAACTGAAATTGAAACTGACATTGAAAGCATTTGATAGGCATTTTATCATAGGAGGGTTTGGTGTAGAATGATTAAGTAAGGTCTTTCATGATTTAACCATGGATTAGGAATTAGGAAGTATTTGTGAAAACAATTAACATTGATGCTTACTCTGTTGTTGGCTTACTGGTTCATTTGCTTTAGGGCCTTCTCGCTACTATAATTCTGGGAGCCACGTGAACTCTGAGTTGTGAAATGAGCAGTCATCTGGAACAGGACGCCAATATGAATGGTGTCTGTCTATGTTCGATCAGATGTGTCTAGCATGCTGAGTTTTGGCGGATCCGAAAGTCGTGATAGTATGGATGATAGTAGGAAAGGTAATCTTTTCAAACGCTAATTCATATAAATCCTCTCATTTTTATCTTAAGATTGAAACAAGTTTTTGGAAACAGTTGTCTTTCAGAACTTTGAGTTATGACAGGATTATTCGAACTTTGGACTGTCTTGTGTAGCCTTTTAAATCAGCTTAGTCCTGGGTCAATGAGAATGGTACTTATGAATTTTCATGACCATTTCGCTTATATATATATATATATATATATATATCTATCTTTTTTCTTAAAGCCTCTGGTTATGTGCCATCTTTCACTTACTTATCTGCTGCTAGACTAACCCTCTTTGGTTATTCTACAGGGAGGCAGCTTTGAGCCTGCTAGTGTGAAAATTGAGCGGTTTCTGACTGCATTGGGTGAAATGGCCCTGCCTAGGTTCGAAGTTTCATTTATAGAACAGCTTTGTTATGTTTTCATGGATATTATTCTTCGTTTCTGTGGAAAAATTTGATTTCTTAAATATGGAAAGACATGCTGGTTTACATAGAATTATCCCATGTCATATAGATGAAGTGGTTGTGGGGTTGCCACTTTTGCTTTAATGAATAGAACCAATTCTGTGTAGGTATATGCTTATGTTAAAATTAGCCTCGTTTTAGACACTTCTGGGTGCAACACTTTTCTGATCATGGCTTTTGTCTGACCTGCTATTTTGATGATAAGCTTGCATGATTTCTGCTCCCATATCGTTTCTTCTCTCTGTCCTCTTTTGTGTTTCTCTATTGAGTTATGAATCCTAATGAAAAGTAAAAAGCAGGGGGATATGGTGCCAGTTTTTCAGTCCCTTAAGGCGCTTAAAGCCAGTTATGATAAGAACTCACTAGCTGCGAGGAGGAGATGGAGCTTGCCAGGGGACCACTCAGATTCAAGAGGAGATAACCGCAACTTTACTATTGGATTGCAGTCGAAGGAAGGATCTGAGATTGATATGTCTGATGCTAAAATTTCGGAATTACTTAAATCAAACAGTTTACGAGTAAAGTTTTCTAACATAATTTTAGTCAATTGTTTCCTACCTCTTGGCTTTTGCCTCTGTTTCCGATTCAAATGTCATTTCCTTGGCAGAATGCTCCTACTAGGTCACTGTTTGACATGCTGGATAAGCTTCTAGATGAGAGCATTATTCATATCTACTTGAAGGTGTCAAAAAATTGCTTAAAACTATCAATGAAGAGGTAACGTATTCTTTTTTACATCATGATCACTACTTCAAGAATTGATCATCGACCATAAGAAGAACATCTTTAAACTCTCACAAGGAGAATACGTTGTTGTTGAGAACTTGGAGAACATATATTGAATCGGTAATAGGCTGATATGGAAACATTTTGCAGATATGGAAACAGCTATGAGTCTTACTTAGTGGCTGTGGTATGTCCAAGCAAGATTCAGATCGAACATTGGGCTAAAGAACACAATGTTTCAGGAGACTTTGAGTCTATCTGTCAAAACTAAAAGACTAAAGAGTTTAACCTTGGAGAATTCAACAGAGTAGCCAAAGACAGAGAGGTTTGATTTGTTCATTATTCTTCTACTTATAAATTCTTGTTTTGTATTTGCAACCTTCTTTTAGCTAAGAAAATTGTGGGTTTTGTCTTACAGCTGAAGGGATTTGAGCTGATCAAAGGTGTACATTTTGGTTTGATGATGTTTCGGGGTGTACTGAATCGGATGATCTTAACCTAAGAACCATTTTCTCTGTTCTTGTTTACGCAGAAAGAGATTGATGAAATGTATAACAAAGGCAAAGAAGTGAAGCTTCGAGAGTAAAGAAAGGAAGTTGTTGGACAAATCTCTCAGGTTTATATGTTTCTCTTATCACTCTAATTCATATTGTTATATGTCTCTCTATGTTGGGTTAATATCGAAGTTGCTTGTGCCAAATACATTAGTTTCTTTTTTTTTGCTTCTAAGCAACCAAATCTTTTTTTTGTACTTAACATTCTCCTGTTTTGTGTAGTATTTGTATTGATATTTTAATAAAGTTCTGTCTATGAAATCCACAATTTATAATTTTCAGTTTTAGCAGTTTCTCATTAGCGTATATTCTCAACTCATTGGCTATTAGATAATACGGGCAAGCGCCTCCGGCCTTTGAGGAGGATGCAGCCACCAAACAACCTTGTCTAGCAGACATATGTAAGTCTTACAAGGCTCAGAATGCATACATGCATGTAAGATGTATCTAACATGATGATGATGACGTTTCCTGCAGGTTCTATGTCCAATCCAAGCTCCCCAAAGAAAAGTATTAGAAACGTACAAAGATATAAGATATTTAAGATATATAGTTACTATTTACTAACCACCGCCCACCGGCTAGGCTTTGAGATTTAAAAATGACTTTGTGTGATCGTATATACAATTTTCAGAACTCAATTTGGAAACTTTCTTTGATAGTGAAGTATAGGTAAGAAGATAACATTAAAAGTTGGGTCTTGTGTATGTTCTTGCGCATCACAAAGCAATAGATAACAATTGAAATGTTTGCGACAGTTCCTAGTTAGTAATTAAAGGGTTCAGCTTTCTAAGAACAATCTCATCCTACTGTGAGCTGTGAATTCTTCAAGTAGAAACCTGATATCTGCGCGAGATAGGAGCCCTTAGTGCAGGCTCTTTATCATATTTGTCCTTAAAAAACATTTATAGCCAATCCTTGAAATATCCAGATGGTATGATGCTCGAAACGAGCTAAGCCACACTTGTCATATGTCGTACGTGTGGTATGATTCTTTGGATCTTTGGGCTATATCACATGTTTAATCAAATCTGATTTCTGAATTGTATGTTGGCTTTCGATAATTGCATACTCAGTGCAAACTCTTGAAAGATTTGTTATATCAAATTTGTATTTTTTTGGTGTTTATGGCAGGAGGTGGAATGTATGTGGAAGTGTTCAACAGAGGAGTGATTCCATTGGCTTATTACAGCATTAGAGACAAGAACAACGCTGGATAAACTAACACTTACCTGGATGGAATCTACCTTCTTCACTGACTTCACCAAACCCGAATCAATAACTCCACTTGAGGCCGTTCTCACTGCGGACGATGACATTATCCGATCATCTACCTTCAAGGTAAAGAAGAGGAAGTACAACCGAAGAGACCATGACCATTGTGTACGTGTGAGAAAAATGTCAGATTCTTTCTTCTTCTTTTATTGCTGCTTTGAACATCTTTGGTTCTGCTTCTATGTGTATTTTTGTGCATTGCTCTGTTTTCTTACGTAACAGATAGTGTGAGAAACTCTAAAGGTAAGTTTGAGAAGCATACTTGTATGAATTTTCATAAACAGAAAAGGAAATTAATCCATCGCAATATACGATAATGATAAAACTGATATTAGCTCTCTTGCATTGCACAATTTGACATGAATGATGGCAAGTTGGCCACAAAGAAAGCAATTGTGTCGTCTTCAAGATTTATTGATACTGATGGCGAAAAGTTAGTAGATTTGGAGTGTGTTCGTGCACAAGTGACACTGGTTGCCATTTTTTGCCCTTGTCACGCTCAAAACATAAATTAGTGAGATTGGTGAGAGCTCTTATCAACTCTTGTTTGCAACCTAACAGGAAAATAACAAAGATTATACACAACTGTAACCAAATATACACATATCAATCAATATGCCTGTAACATGAGAACATCCGTTAAGAAGTAAGCAACAGAAAAGAAACATAACAAGTTAATTCACCTCACAGATGCTGCTTTCAAGGGAACATTTTAGTGACCAAGTCACGATCACAGTGCGTAACAACCAAATTGAGCCTACAAATCAACGCCTACACGCAAATAAGTTTTGCCGCCCTCTTATGGAGCACCAGTCTACCGCCTTCTTCAGCTCATTTCTGTCTTTAAAACACAACCCTACACGCAATTCATGATCATCAACCCACAAACTGGACAGCGACCACGGTTTTGAAGCTCTTGGCTCGACACCTTTATTTAAGTCTGCATTGCTGTTACTCGCTGTCAAATTAACAACCTGCACCAACCTATCCGAGCCCGAGTTTTTATTCGTCATTTCTCCATCTCCACCTCCATGAGTGCTACCATTTCCAAAGTCAGAATTTTCCTCGTCTTCAATCCAACCGTTACTGTTATCCACTCCCTGCACCTCTAAACCATTATTCCTCTCTACTTTAACAGATGGATGTGAAACATAACCAGTAGCTTCATGGGGTTGCTGGGTCCTCTGTCTTTTCGAGGAACTAGCAGGATTTTCCACTGCCGATGAACAAGCAGCAGGATCAGCAACATCATCAGAAGTCGATTTCACTTCCAAATACAACTCCACATTTTTAATAGAAGGATGATTGCTTAGAACCTCAAGCATAGTCTCCAAACTAGAGTAGTTCACCACGGGAAAATGTACATACGTAAAAAAATCCGGTGAAACAACAGCAGGGTACCTGCCAAAGATCTCAATCTTTGTTCTCTGCTTAGCTAATCCAAAAATTGGATAAAGCCCATTCAACAATGTGTTAAACTCAGTCTCGCGCTTAACTCTGATCTTTTTAGGAGGAGATCCTTCATAGTATACGCCATAAGGACCATAACTTAATACAACCATTCGTGTAACACAACAACATAACCTGTTCTCTCAAGGTTTCCATCGCCATGAGCACAACAGTCCTGAAGTGGATTCAAAGAAAAATGTGAACTTTTTGGGGCTAAACTCATAACATACAAAACCCTAGATAACTCCATATCTAAAAACAAAGACTAAAGCTTTCATGAACAAACCAGACACATACAAAAGCAGCAACACATTATGTCTCCGTCACAGCACTACAATATATAAGTACTGCCAACCATCTGTTATGAGCTTCATCAAACTCCCATATCTAAAACAGCAAAATAAATGGTGATTCCTTCTATACGATTCCCAGTTCAAAGAAAGTGAAATAAAGTCTCAGTTCAAAATATACCAGTTAAGATGTGGAGAGTCAGAGTTGAAGGCAAAAACAAAGCTTGGTTCTTGCTCTTCACCTTTCCTCGGATTCCAAGAAACAGATGCAGGTAAGCTTGAAGGTTTACCGAGCGTCGATAGAGAATCGATCACATTCTGAAACTTGGCCTACACAGAATGGTGTGAAATAAGACAAGAGTAGAGATGTACAAGAAATCGATAGAAACAACAAGAACTTATAGAAACAATAAGCCACCTGAAGTTGCCAATTCTTTAGTTCCAAAGGATTCAACAGCTCAAAAAACCAAAGGTACCCATCAGAGTATGCTGCAACCTACAAAATTAATCAATGAATCATTCATAAATGATAGCAGAAGAGCTTGTTCAACATCGAAAACCAAACCAATCAAAGCAAAAAACAGAATCTCTCACCATCTTAAGACTCTTTCTGGAAACTCCAAATTGAACATCGAGCACTTGGCTACACTTGTTCTTCATACTCTTACACAATTTCCACTCAAGAGCATGTGTGTCTACCAAAAACAAGAAAGAAATATTCAGACAGGAAAAGAAAAAAAGAAACTGACCTGCATAATACTTTAGTAATACGAGTAGAGTCTTCTCCATTAGCTATACTCTGAAGTATAACAGAGCAATTCAAATTCCAGGAATTGTCCTTTGAGCCTTTCATGTACACATAACACCTCGTCTTGTCATTAGCAGCTCCAATGGGGAACCTTAATGGCTAATAATGGAAGTCGAAAACATGAAACATCATACGAAAATGTGCAAACCTTGAATCACCAAAACTGCAATTAATGTTTCTTATCAAAAGAGACTCAGATATTGAACATTCAGCCATTGGAAATCAAATCAAAACCTCAGTTACTTGTGTTTATTGAGAACACAAGCAAGATTCAGATCGAACATTGGGCTAAAGAACACAATGTTTCAGGAGACTTTGAGTCTATCTGTCAAAACTAAAAGACTAAAGAGTTTATCCTTGGAGAATTCAACAGAGTAGCCAAAGACAAAAAGGTTTCATCTCTTCCAAAGACAATGACACTTCCCAAGTCTCATCTCTTCTTCTTCTTCTGTGGCTGCTGCTTCTTCTGTTCCTGCTTCTCCTTCTCTTGCTGCTTCTTCTGTTCCTGCTTCTCCTTCTCTTGCTGCCTCTTCTTCTGTTTCTCAAGCTTTGTAACCTCTAGCTTGAATTTCTGCACTCCATGATCTGTTGTCCTCCTCTCTTTCTTCACAACTTCCAGAGCCCTTTCCTTGTCAGATGCTTGCAACATCTCTCTCACAAAAGCTTTCCCATTCGCTTTCGCATCCTCAAAGCGAGATTTCATTATTTCCTTTTCCTCATTTGACTCATTCTCCATGATAATCCATAGCAGTCTTCGAACTTCTCTTTCCGCACTCTCATATTTCGCCAACTCTTGCATGAGAGAAACTGAAATTGATGCTTCATCAACAGCTGCTCCAACCCCTAAACATATGAATGACACGATTAACCCTAAGCACTTTTAATTACCAAACTATATACTAATTACACAATAGTCCATATTTATTACTCTTAGGTATTATTAAAAAGAGGTTTTATACCTTCACGCAGCTTTGCTTCTTCTTCAATCTCAGCTACAGAACCTTCACTCTTCTCAGGAGGCAGAGATTGTCTCTGTTCAGATGCACTCTTCATACCTTTTTTTTTTTTTTTTTTTTCTCTTAGACCTCTCTTTTTATTAATACGCTCTCTGTGATTCTCTGTTTCTTATTCTCTTTTCTCTATATTTTTATTTTTATGATTAAAACTATAACATAAGCACCCTATTTATACTGTTATGATTCCAAAACACAAATAATAAATTGCTAATTCCTATTATAACTTTTCCACTTTTCCTTGTTTGCTTTTTTTTTCATGATTTTCTTTTTGTTCATTCCACTTTGTTGATTGATTTCCTTTGTTGCTTGATTATCTTCTTTTCTTGATTTTCCTTTTTCCTGATTAGAAAAGGAATCTATTCCAAGAAGAAAGCTTGGCACGGGTCATGCTCTTAAAACTACAACTACGCATGCCTAAACATAACCACAACCCTACCACACATGACCAGGGCCGGTCCGGTAAAATCGGAGGCCGAATACGAAAAAAAATTTTGAGGCCTTTTTAATAAGTAAAAACTGTTAAATTTTTTTTTTTTTTTGCTAATTATGGGCCATTTACAATTTTTATTTAACATTTTTTCTAAATTTTTGGACATTTTTTGCTAATTATAAGATTTTTACTAATTATGAGGCCTTCTTACTAATTATGGGGTTTTTTTTGTTAATTTTGAGGTCTATTTTACTAATTTTGAGGCCTATTTTACTAATTGTGGGGCTTTAAAAAAAAAAAAAAAAAAAAAAAAAAAACCTCACAAAATGGGCCTCGGAAATTTGAGGCCCAATACAAATGTTTTGTTAAAATCTGTCCAGGGCCGGGCCTGCACATGACACATGACAACTACTAGCTAGAGTCATCCTATTTCTCTTAAAACTCTAATTCCTTTTCACGACACTTAACCTTATCTTAATTAAGCTAACAACACAATAATTAACTAGTTGGGCCTTATTAAATCTGCAGGCCCAATACACAAAGACAAGTCCATTTCACTTTGATGACATCACCTTTGCCTTCTTCGATCTCTTCTTCTAATTCTTCTGTTTCTTTGACTTTTCTTCAATCATCTTCTGATTCTTGTTGTGAATTCTTTGTCTTTTGTAGAAGCAATCAAAGGATCATATTTCAACATAACCTCGAGCATCGTCTGTCTGAAAGAATCAATTCAACATAAGATATTAAATATATAGGAATATTAGTGTCATAATAAGAAAGATAGATTAAAATTAGGCATGCATGCATGACCTGTTCCACGATAGCTTCAATAGATTCTTCCGAGAGTTCTAAGTCTGTTTCACCTAGCTCTGCGCCAACCATTTTCTTCGACTAATTTGCAACGAAAACCTTTTACAAATCAAAATGTTTGTGTATATGTGTGTTTGCTATGAAAAGAATAATTTTGTGGTTTTGGAAGGTTGCAATCTATATTTAACAACTTTGCAATTTGAACAAAAAAAGAAAAGAAAATTTGAAGGTAACACTTTTCCAATTTGAAGGTCTAAATAATTTTATGATTACCTCATGGGGCTCGATGAAGCCGGTTCCATGGAGGTCAAAAAGCTTGAACATAACTACAATATTTACAACATATTATAAGCGATTTAGTTAATCTATTAGACACGTATATATATTCATGATCTTGAAGTGCATATATATTGATACGTACATGCAGAATTTTCATGTTCGGGAGTGTATGGATGGAAGATTCTGCTCTCACCAATTTTTTTAATATTAAGTTTGCACAATTGAAAGATAAGAACCTCATTTAAAGTTTTAAATTTCTTCCTTCTCCAATGGTAGACTCTTACTAAGGGTTTTTTAAAATTAAATTATTGAAAATTAGTATTTAAGTGTTTTGGTTCTTAAAATTTTGAAGTGTTTTGGTTCTTAAAAATTTGAAGTTTTTTTAAGTGTTTGGTTTTTAAAAATTTGAAGTATTTTGAAGTGTTTTGGTTCTTAAACAATTTGGTTACAACACATATATAGCAAAGTATTTAAGTGTATGAAACTATACAAGAAACAAAGAAGTTTTGGTTACAACACATATTCACTTGCTTTTTGTATACTATACAAGATAGAAAGAAGTTTTGGTTATGGGACATGAAGACGGAATCACCACAGAATTTTAACCAATCACGACATGACACATGAATTTTAAATTTGAGCATTTGTTGAAATAACTTCTTATTATAAATAACATATCAAACATCAATAAAATAGGAAACTCATTCTAAAATATCTTGAGAGAAAAAGAAACACAAATACTCATACTACAAGAAAATAAGGGTGATTCTGACGAAAATTCCAACAGATGCATATATCCATAGTCCATCAAAATTTTCTGCTACAGTTTCCGACCAAAGAATTCCGACGAATTTGATTTTGTCGGAAATACGTCGGAATATATCATTTCCGACAAATTTCCGACCAATACCATCGTCGGAAATTGTGGTGTTTTCTTGTAGTATAATTCATTGAAAATCCATCAAAAAAATTCATGTAAAGATTCGTCTGTTTTCTGTAGTGATGATTCACGTACCATACCAATAAAAACATTGTTAAGAACACAAAACAAAAATATGAGATATTAACTAATTTAACTATATATATAGAGGAGAAAGTATTACAGAAAAGAAATTAGTGCAGGTATAAATATACATTTACTTAAATTATACTGTATAAAATTTATAGTATTTAGAATATATTATTTGTACATATAGTTGCATTGTCTCCGGTCTCCAAATTGTCCACGTTAAATGGCCACGAAGCTCGCATCAGTGTCACGTACGTAGAAATAGTTGGGTGTTTAAAATCTTCCAATTCGGAATATAGTGTTATCAACACATTACCCAAAAACCAAAAATAGAAACAGTGATTAGAAAATTGTCATAAAACTATCGTTGGTTTTGGACATAGCCACATCGATATTAAAGAAATTTAGATAGCCACATCGATATTAAAGAAATTTAGATCTAGTTTTTTTTTTGCTTTCTAGGTTGTGTGTGTATATATATATATATTTTTTTTGAATGTTAATATCATTAAAAATGAAAAGGTTTGGCTTTACAACAGTAGGAGCCTATAGATTTGTATCCTTGGCAAAAAAATAAAACAAGGAGACAAAAGATTTGGAAGTCACAATGAGTGAGTTCAAATTAACCAAGCTTGCATTAAGTTTCGGAAAAGCTTGCGCTTACGTCTTGCAGTGATGATGTTTCTGATTTCTCTATCGATGAGCTTGAATAAAGTTGAGGCTGGGATAGAGACCTGATTGTGAACGACATTATTTCTTTGCTTCCAGATTTGATAAACTGTGGACTGAGCTGCAATCTTCCTAAAGAGAGATGGAGCTGCGGAAGAAGAAGAACGTTGCCAAGAAAGAAGTTCGGCCCAAGACATGAAGGAGCCCCTGCTCGGATCCAGCCTCGAGAAAACCCACATAATATATAAATATATAAATGTTGTATATATTAATTGCAACATTTGGTTGAAGAGACCGTAAAATTCGTTACGATGAAGTTTCACACATAAAAAAGGTATTGGCTTACGTGTTTAATTCTTCACCAAACACTCCAATCTCTATATATAACTTTCAGGTCCTTCACTACCAAAGAAAAAAAGGTTCATATAGAAAGAAAGAAAAAATAAGATGGAGGTCAAACAAAGAGCCTTGGAGTCACCGAAGATGGAACAAAAGCGGATGGTGAGGAGAAGACAAATAAAGATGATATGATGATTAAAGGGCATATCAAAATCACTGAGGGTTTAAGACAAGCTAAGACGACAAGAGATGATCAATCTTCTAAGAGCTTGACATCATCATCATATATTATGAAAATCAAGATTGGAAATTGTGAGTTATCAGGTTTTGATCATTGATATCCTTATAAGGTCATAACTAGTAGTTTCAAATTATTATGTTTGCTATATCATCAATTATTGGGTTTGTTATCCTTTTATTTTCATTCATCTATCCATGAACTTTTTTTTTAAATATGGAAAACGGAATTTTCTATTTATATCTTTTTTTTTATGAACCATCTTTATGAATTAATGCATCACTATTTATCTCATGTTGAGTTCATATTTTTATTTCTACAGACAAAAACTCGATACAAAGATCAGAAAACACTAAAAAGATGGAAAATCACCCAAAGAACAAGATGGTGATCATGAATCCGAAACAAAACGCAGAAGAGAGTACCAATCTTGATAAGATGAAGAAGAAGAAGGTGTGGGATTGAGAAAGTACACTCTATGACTCGTTCGAGCTCAACTCTTTCAATCGCCAACTCAACTCAGCCATCTCCTCCTCAGCTAGATCCATGTCAATGCCACACCTTTCTCCTACTCCTCCTCCACCGTCAGCAACAACGTCTTCTTCTTCGACCAAGAAACAACAATCCCCTACCAAGAGCTCACGTTCTCTGGGGGAAACTCATTAAGGCAATGTTCAAACAGAAACAATCAAATGCTTCGTTTAAGGCAGGTCAAAGCGGCGTAGACATGGACAAATACTACGTCGTTTTCGACAAGACGGCCTCGCTTACGACGATCCCTGAGTCAGGAGAGTCAACAGAGATGGTTGGCTCAGAGATCAACTCGCTTGTTAGAAAAACAACGTCCGAGTGAATCCCGCTGAGTCGGCTTGTTGGTATATCATGTTCTTAATTATTTTCATTTGACTATATACTATATATACCGTAGTTAAGTCACTAAATATTAATATGGAGATATTACTATATATTAGTATTTTTTTTTTCATCAAAAATATTAATATGGAGAGATTTTTCCTCCATATTTTTCCTCAAAAATATATATACCGTAGTTAAGTCACTAAATAAATATATATATATATATATATATTACTATATATTAGTATGAAGATTAAAATAGCCTTTAAATAAATTACTACTATAGCTTCCAAAAGACTACTACTATGTAATGAACTTTTTTGACGTATGTGAATATATGTAGTAAAACTTTTCCAAGAGGTTAGTATATCTTGACTTTCTTCTCATCAGAGGTCAATGTATCTTACCGTACCCTTTTTAAAATGTTAAAATGAAAGCAACTTTTTGAACATTTTGTCAATTTAAATCTAATTTATTACACTGTCAATTTGATCATTTTGTACACTTATTTAATTCTACTATGATTAGCATTTTTCTCATTTCATTTACTTTAAGAATATCATTTCTGGTTAATTTTCAGTCATATAAATCAGATTTGATATACATCAAAAGATTATATTATATAATATCTTAACTAGTCTCTACGTTACTAAGATTAGATACAAAAAGTAGTCAACAATGCTAAGAGTAGATACAAAACAAGAAGACTATGTTAAGAGCTCTGTGCTTCCTCTAGTTTCATGCAATTTATCTTCCTCTTGTTGCTCCATTGAACATTGAAGATGAAACTACTACACAAGTTGCGACTAGAAGACTTAGACCAGCTTTATCAATGAGTTCTTAAGAAAATCTTAAGATGATCTTAACATTTAATTGATTAAAATTAATTTCCAAATGCATTAAATCTAAGATGGGTTCTTAGCTAAGGAACAAAAAAAAAAGTTAAGAGCCAAAATTTATAAATTTAATACTAAAAAATTCTTAAGAACCAAAATTAAGAGACCATTGATAATGGTGCTGCATCAGAAACATCCCCTTCCTTTTCTGTCTCAGCTTCTTGTTCAGAAGTGTCACAAACTTGTTCCTTTCCTTCTCTGCTCTCGCCCAATGTCTTCTTTGGTTCCTTGGGTTTTCTTATCAGTAGGCTGCGTTTTCTCTTGGGATATTCTCGTTCCCATGCCGAGTAAAGATAAACAGACTGCTTTTCTCCGGAAACTGCAACTGCGGTTCCTTCTGTCTCATATCCGCTCTTCGTCTTGTTTTTAACTCCCCTGCAGGGGCCTTGTTCAGATTTTGATTGAGTTTCACCATTGTTGTACAACAGCCCGTCTTCTCTCTCTGCTGCATCCACATTAGTTAAGAAGCTTGGCGGTTTGTGTGAGCACAACTTCTTGACAAGGTTAGAAGTTCCAACAACCGCTCCAACTGATGTCGATTCCAACTGCTTCTTGTTCTTCACTCTTGTCCTCCGGACATACTTCTTCTTAAACAATTAGTCTTCACAAAAACCATCAGGAGGATCGCTCTTTGGTTTAACTTCTTGAATAACCTTCACTGATGTTGCTTCACCCTTTTGTAGCATCAACTCTCGGTTTTTCCGCAGCTCCTCAGATAACACAAAGCAACTTCCTCCACAGTCCATGTCGCCAGATTCTCTCTGCTTACCTGCAATTTCATCATCTCAAATGTCTTTACTTTAGATCAAAGTTTGACATATCAATCGCATATATCTATAATAAACCACAATTCAACAACAATCTGACTCTCCTCTTACATGTATCTTCCTCAACTCTCTCCGGAAAAAAAACTCTTCTGCCGCTTCCACCACCACGTCCTTAGACACTTCTCGGGCACCATCAATCGATGCTGCATTCGCCAAAACCACTAAATCTCCAAAAGATAAATGTTGAAGAGTAGGAGACAAGTTGTTGTTCCTAAGAAACCTAGTGCAACCTCCAAGACTAGACTCGTTAACTCTTTTCTTCCTTTTATAAATTTGGTACAATTCAAGACCTTTGTTCATTTAGCTTCTTTAAGAACCTTTGAATATTTAGATCCTTGAATATTTTTTTAAAAAAGATACACATAAAATTGAGATTTTTTTTATTGTCTTATTATTTAGATCCTTGAATATTTGTTTTGATTACATGCAAACGAGAAAATAATACATGTTTGGACTTGTATATATAAAATATGTGTAGTTCAACAGTTGTACAAATATATGAAAAAAAAGGAGTTGTCGCTTGGATCCCGATGTCATAGAGACGGAGCGGCAAAAATCTTGTACCATTCTCTTTGCTAATATTGTCATAGAAGTATCACCAAATCATTGCAAATTTAAGTTCTAAGAAAGAGTGATACAACATTCAGTTATTAGGGTTTAATGTATATTTGAGTATTATGTTGGATTCATAGAACCAAATAACAAGTAAGAGGTACATTAATACCTAATAAAAAAATGCATAACTGCAAAGAGGTACAGAGACTCAATGAGTGGTACACAATATTCCCAACTTTTAAGGTTTTATATTATCCTAAAATAAATTTTCGTGATACATATATGGTGTACCTGAATTGTATATATATGGTGTTAACCATATGACATCGTATAGTTCATACATGTGGCCATGCAATACATCTATTTCGTGTAGCTAAAGATACAATAGTATACTTGGCATGTGTGACCATGTATTCGTCAACACTATGTGTAGCTAGCAATCTTTTTTCCTTATATAAATGATAATCAACCTTGTAGAGATATTTTGGGGATGTTTATCATATTAAAATACCTTTACTTGTACTTGATGAAACTTGACAAAATAAAACATATATCAAAGTCTGCTAAGAGATTGAGTTAGCCGATACAAAACGTAATATTGGGCCTATTACGCATTTAATTGGCCCATTTATGCAATCGACAAATCGCATATGTTGAAATTGTTTATTCCGTTATTGTTACGGCACCCAATTACTACTACTGCTACCACATTTGTTGTTAGCCGATACAAAACGTAATATTGGGCCTATTACGCATTTAATTGGCCCATTTATGCAATCAACAAATCACATATGTTGAAATTGTTTATTCCGTTGTTGTTACAGCTCCCAATTACTACTACTGCTATCACATTTGTTGTTAGCCGATACAAAACGTAATATTGGGCCTATTACGCATTTAGTTGGCCCATTTATGCAATCGACAAATCGCATATGTTGAAATTGTTTATTCCGTTGTTGTTACGACACCCAATTACTACTACTGCTATCACATTTTTTATTAGCCGATACAAAACGTAATATTGGGCATATTACGAATTTAATTGGCCCATTTATGCAATCGACAAGTCGCATATGTTGAAATTCTTTATTCCGTTATTATTACGGCACCCAATTACTACTACTGCTATTACATTTGTTGTTAGCCGATACAAAACGTAAATTTTTAATCTTTTAAAAAAGATACACATAAAATTAAGATTTTTTTTTATTGTCTTATTATTTAGATCCTTGAATATTTGTTTTGATTACATGCAAACGATAAAATAATACATGTTTGGACTTGTATATCTAAAATATGTGTAGTTCAACAGTTGTACAAATATATGAAAAAGGAGTTGTCGCTTAGATCCCGATGTCATAGAGACGGAGCGGCAAAAATCTTGTACCATTCTCTTTGCTAATATTGTCATAGAAGTATCACCAAATCATTACAAATTTAAGTTCCAATAAAAAGTGATACAACATTCAGTTATTAGGGTTCAATGTTTATTTGAGTATTATGTTTGATTCATAGAACCAAATAACAAGTAAGAGATACATTAATACCTAATCAAAAGATGCATAACTGCAAAGAGATACAAAGACTCAATGAGTGGTACAACATTCCCAAGCTTCAAATACTACGACTGCTATCACATTTCTTGTTAGCCGATACAAAACGTAAATTTTTAATCTTTTAAAAAAGATACACATAAAATTGAGATTTTATTATTGTCTTATTATTTAGATCCTTGAATATTTGTTTTGATTACATGCAAACAAGAAAATAATACATGTTTGGACTTGTATATCTAAAATATGTGTAGTTCAACAGTTGTACAAATATATGAAAAAAAAGAGTTGTCGCTTGGATCCCGATGTCATAGAGACGGAGCGGCAAAAATCTTGTACCATTCTCCTTTGCTAATATTGTCATAGAAGTATCACCAAATCATTGCAAATTTAAGTTCTAACAAAGAGTGATACAAGTTATTAGGGTTTAATGTATATTTGAGTATTATGTTGGATTCATAGAACCAAATAACAAGTAAGAGATACATTAATACCTAATAAAAAAATGCATAACTGCAAAGAGATACAAAGACTCAATGAGTGGTACAACATTCCCAAGCCTTAAGGTTTTATATTAATCCTAAAATAAATTTTCGTGATACATTAATACCGCAAAGAGATATTCTTTCGTCCTACTTTGGCATGATTAATGATCACGATGCTAAATTTGGTAATAATGGTAAAGCATAATTTTTTTTTGCCAATAAATTATTTTTTATCCTAATCTTAAGTAATTAATTAACAAATTTTGTACGGAATTTAATCAAAAAAAAAGTTGATAAGCTAACATATATTTTCAAATGTGCAGTCCACATCTATATTATTTATGGTGGAGTTTGATGTTAAACGATATGTAGTTCAAATATAAAAATCGAACTATATATCGATTTTTTTTTCTATCATAAATTTTGAAATCCAACATCTCTAAACTATAATGCTTTTAAATATAAAAATCGAACTATATCATAAATTTTGAAATCCAACATCTCTAAACTATAATGCTTTCAAATATAAAAATGGAACAATATATCTATTTTTTTTCTATCATAAATTTTGAAATCCAACATCTCTAAACTATAATGCATTAAATAGATCATATTTATTTGAATAGACTAGATAATATTAGGCATACTAGCTCAAATGCTGGTAAGATGATGACAAGTTTGATGGACAACCGATCCAGTTATTCGTGGGCCTTCAATATTTGGGCCGAAACTAAAATGGGTCGTACCTTTTTTCTAATTTTCTATAGCGACGAGGGTAGGGCCCACCAAGACCATATAGCGTTCAAACAAGTAGGAAAAAAACATTTTTGTCTCTTTTTTTCGTAATTCGAACCGCGTAATTAGCCTTTGTTTTTTCTCAGAATCTAAAAGCAAAAACAGTGAGCAAAATCGTGCGACTGGGACAAGTTTCGAATTTCTTCTCTTCCGGCGAGAGACTCAAACTTCCGCCTCCAATTTCTCGCCGTGAATCTGAGTTTTCTTCGTGGAATTTTAACAAAACCAGTCGTCATACAAGTTTCTCATGGCGTTTTAGGTTCGTATCGTTTTTTTTTTTGCCTTTGTCTCTGTGTTACAAAAGCGTAGAATGGTTTCTTAGGGTTTTTGAATGGATCTGCGTGATTTTGGTGGAATTTAGAGCTGATTCTATGGGTTGATTTGGTCGACATTGTGGTTATTTGCTAAGCTAGATGTTGAAATGTTGGAACAAACTGAAATTGAAACTGACATTGAAAGCATTTGATAGGCATTTTATCATAGGAGGGTTTGGTGTAGAATGATTAAGTAAGGTCTTTCATGATTTAACCATGGATTAGGAATTAGGAAGTATTTGTGAAAACAATTAACATTGATGCTTACTCTGTTGTTGGCTTACTGGTTCATTTGCTTTAGGGCCTTCTCGCTACTATAATTCTGGGAGCCACGTGAACTCTGAGTTGTGAAATGAGCAGTCATCTGGAACAGGACGCCAATATGAATGGTGTCTGTCTATGTTCGATCAGATGTGTCTAGCATGCTGAGTTTTGGCGGATCCGAAAGTCGTGATAGTATGGATGATAGTAGGAAAGGTAATCTTTTCAAACGCTAATTCATATAAATCCTCTCATTTTTATCTTAAGATTGAAACAAGTTTTTGGAAACAGTTGTCTTTCAGAACTTTGAGTTATGACAGGATTATTCGAACTTTGGACTGTCTTGTGTAGCCTTTTAAATCAGCTTAGTCCTGGGTCAATGAGAATGGTACTTATGAATTTTCATGACCATTTCGCTTATATATATATATATATATATATATATCTATCTTTTTTCTTAAAGCCTCTGGTTATGTGCCATCTTTCACTTACTTATCTGCTGCTAGACTAACCCTCTTTGGTTATTCTACAGGGAGGCAGCTTTGAGCCTGCTAGTGTGAAAATTGAGCGGTTTCTGACTGCATTGGGTGAAATGGCCCTGCCTAGGTTCGAAGTTTCATTTATAGAACAGCTTTGTTATGTTTTCATGGATATTATTCTTCGTTTCTGTGGAAAAATTTGATTTCTTAAATATGGAAAGACATGCTGGTTTACATAGAATTATCCCATGTCATATAGATGAAGTGGTTGTGGGGTTGCCACTTTTGCTTTAATGAATAGAACCAATTCTGTGTAGGTATATGCTTATGTTAAAATTAGCCTCGTTTTAGACACTTCTGGGTGCAACACTTTTCTGATCATGGCTTTTGTCTGACCTGCTATTTTGATGATAAGCTTGCATGATTTCTGCTCCCATATCGTTTCTTCTCTCTGTCCTCTTTTGTGTTTCTCTATTGAGTTATGAATCCTAATGAAAAGTAAAAAGCAGGGGGATATGGTGCCAGTTTTTCAGTCCCTTAAGGCGCTTAAAGCCAGTTATGATAAGAACTCACTAGCTGCGAGGAGGAGATGGAGCTTGCCAGGGGACCACTCAGATTCAAGAGGAGATAACCGCAACTTTACTATTGGATTGCAGTCGAAGGAAGGATCTGAGATTGATATGTCTGATGCTAAAATTTCGGAATTACTTAAATCAAACAGTTTACGAGTAAAGTTTTCTAACATAATTTTAGTCAATTGTTTCCTACCTCTTGGCTTTTGCCTCTGTTTCCGATTCAAATGTCATTTCCTTGGCAGAATGCTCCTACTAGGTCACTGTTTGACATGCTGGATAAGCTTCTAGATGAGAGCATTATTCATATCTACTTGAAGGTGTCAAAAAATTGCTTAAAACTATCAATGAAGAGGTAACGTATTCTTTTTTACATCATGATCACTACTTCAAGAATTGATCATCGACCATAAGAAGAACATCTTTAAACTCTCACAAGGAGAATACGTTGTTGTTGAGAACTTGGAGAACATATATTGAATCGGTAATAGGCTGATATGGAAACATTTTGCAGATATGGAAACAGCTATGAGTCTTACTTAGTGGCTGTGGTATGTCCAAGCAAGATTCAGATCGAACATTGGGCTAAAGAACACAATGTTTCAGGAGACTTTGAGTCTATCTGTCAAAACTAAAAGACTAAAGAGTTTAACCTTGGAGAATTCAACAGAGTAGCCAAAGACAGAGAGGTTTGATTTGTTCATTATTCTTCTACTTATAAATTCTTGTTTTGTATTTGCAACCTTCTTTTAGCTAAGAAAATTGTGGGTTTTGTCTTACAGCTGAAGGGATTTGAGCTGATCAAAGGTGTACATTTTGGTTTGATGATGTTTCGGGGTGTACTGAATCGGATGATCTTAACCTAAGAACCATTTTCTCTGTTCTTGTTTACGCAGAAAGAGATTGATGAAATGTATAACAAAGGCAAAGAAGTGAAGCTTCGAGAGTAAAGAAAGGAAGTTGTTGGACAAATCTCTCAGGTTTATATGTTTCTCTTATCACTCTAATTCATATTGTTATATGTCTCTCTATGTTGGGTTAATATCGAAGTTGCTTGTGCCAAATACATTAGTTTCTTTTTTTTTGCTTCTAAGCAACCAAATCTTTTTTTTGTACTTAACATTCTCCTGTTTTGTGTAGTATTTGTATTGATATTTTAATAAAGTTCTGTCTATGAAATCCACAATTTATAATTTTCAGTTTTAGCAGTTTCTCATTAGCGTATATTCTCAACTCATTGGCTATTAGATAATACGGGCAAGCGCCTCCGGCCTTTGAGGAGGATGCAGCCACCAAACAACCTTGTCTAGCAGACATATGTAAGTCTTACAAGGCTCAGAATGCATACATGCATGTAAGATGTATCTAACATGATGATGATGACGTTTCCTGCAGGTTCTATGTCCAATCCAAGCTCCCCAAAGAAAAGTATTAGAAACGTACAAAGATATAAGATATTTAAGATATATAGTTACTATTTACTAACCACCGCCCACCGGCTAGGCTTTGAGATTTAAAAATGACTTTGTGTGATCGTATATACAATTTTCAGAACTCAATTTGGAAACTTTCTTTGATAGTGAAGTATAGGTAAGAAGATAACATTAAAAGTTGGGTCTTGTGTATGTTCTTGCGCATCACAAAGCAATAGATAACAATTGAAATGTTTGCGACAGTTCCTAGTTAGTAATTAAAGGGTTCAGCTTTCTAAGAACAATCTCATCCTACTGTGAGCTGTGAATTCTTCAAGTAGAAACCTGATATCTGCGCGAGATAGGAGCCCTTAGTGCAGGCTCTTTATCATATTTGTCCTTAAAAAACATTTATAGCCAATCCTTGAAATATCCAGATGGTATGATGCTCGAAACGAGCTAAGCCACACTTGTCATATGTCGTACGTGTGGTATGATTCTTTGGATCTTTGGGCTATATCACATGTTTAATCAAATCTGATTTCTGAATTGTATGTTGGCTTTCGATAATTGCATACTCAGTGCAAACTCTTGAAAGATTTGTTATATCAAATTTGTATTTTTTTGGTGTTTATGGCAGGAGGTGGAATGTATGTGGAAGTGTTCAACAGAGGAGTGATTCCATTGGCTTATTACAGCATTAGAGACAAGAACAACGCTGGATAAACTAACACTTACCTGGATGGAATCTACCTTCTTCACTGACTTCACCAAACCCGAATCAATAACTCCACTTGAGGCCGTTCTCACTGCGGACGATGACATTATCCGATCATCTACCTTCAAGGTAAAGAAGAGGAAGTACAACCGAAGAGACCATGACCATTGTGTACGTGTGAGAAAAATGTCAGATTCTTTCTTCTTCTTTTATTGCTGCTTTGAACATCTTTGGTTCTGCTTCTATGTGTATTTTTGTGCATTGCTCTGTTTTCTTACGTAACAGATAGTGTGAGAAACTCTAAAGGTAAGTTTGAGAAGCATACTTGTATGAATTTTCATAAACAGAAAAGGAAATTAATCCATCGCAATATACGATAATGATAAAACTGATATTAGCTCTCTTGCATTGCACAATTTGACATGAATGATGGCAAGTTGGCCACAAAGAAAGCAATTGTGTCGTCTTCAAGATTTATTGATACTGATGGCGAAAAGTTAGTAGATTTGGAGTGTGTTCGTGCACAAGTGACACTGGTTGCCATTTTTTGCCCTTGTCACGCTCAAAACATAAATTAGTGAGATTGGTGAGAGCTCTTATCAACTCTTGTTTGCAACCTAACAGGAAAATAACAAAGATTATACACAACTGTAACCAAATATACACATATCAATCAATATGCCTGTAACATGAGAACATCCGTTAAGAAGTAAGCAACAGAAAAGAAACATAACAAGTTAATTCACCTCACAGATGCTGCTTTCAAGGGAACATTTTAGTGACCAAGTCACGATCACAGTGCGTAACAACCAAATTGAGCCTACAAATCAACGCCTACACGCAAATAAGTTTTGCCGCCCTCTTATGGAGCACCAGTCTACCGCCTTCTTCAGCTCATTTCTGTCTTTAAAACACAACCCTACACGCAATTCATGATCATCAACCCACAAACTGGACAGCGACCACGGTTTTGAAGCTCTTGGCTCGACACCTTTATTTAAGTCTGCATTGCTGTTACTCGCTGTCAAATTAACAACCTGCACCAACCTATCCGAGCCCGAGTTTTTATTCGTCATTTCTCCATCTCCACCTCCATGAGTGCTACCATTTCCAAAGTCAGAATTTTCCTCGTCTTCAATCCAACCGTTACTGTTATCCACTCCCTGCACCTCTAAACCATTATTCCTCTCTACTTTAACAGATGGATGTGAAACATAACCAGTAGCTTCATGGGGTTGCTGGGTCCTCTGTCTTTTCGAGGAACTAGCAGGATTTTCCACTGCCGATGAACAAGCAGCAGGATCAGCAACATCATCAGAAGTCGATTTCACTTCCAAATACAACTCCACATTTTTAATAGAAGGATGATTGCTTAGAACCTCAAGCATAGTCTCCAAACTAGAGTAGTTCACCACGGGAAAATGTACATACGTAAAAAAATCCGGTGAAACAACAGCAGGGTACCTGCCAAAGATCTCAATCTTTGATCTCTGCTTAGCTAATCCAAAAATTGGATAAAGCCCATTCAACAATGTGTTAAACTCAGTCTCGCGCTTAACTCTGATCTTTTTAGGAGGAGATCCTTCATAGTATACGCCATAAGGACCATAACTTAATACAACCATTCGTGTAACACAACAACATAACCTGTTCTCTCAAGGTTTCCATCGCCATGAGCACAACAGTCCTGAAGTGGATTCAAAGAAAAATGTGAACTTTTTGGGGCTAAACTCATAACATACAAAACCCTAGATAACTCCATATCTAAAAACAAAGACTAAAGCTTTCATGAACAAACCAGACACATACAAAAGCAGCAACACATTATGTCTCCGTCACAGCACTACAATATATAAGTACTGCCAACCATCTGTTATGAGCTTCATCAAACTCCCATATCTAAAACAGCAAAATAAATGGTGATTCCTTCTATACGATTCCCAGTTCAAAGAAAGTGAAATAAAGTCTCAGTTCAAAATATACCAGTTAAGATGTGGAGAGTCAGAGTTGAAGGCAAAAACAAAGCTTGGTTCTTGCTCTTCACCTTTCCTCGGATTCCAAGAAACAGATGCAGGTAAGCTTGAAGGTTTACCGAGCGTCGATAGAGAATCGATCACATTCTGAAACTTGGCCTACACAGAATGGTGTGAAATAAGACAAGAGTAGAGATGTACAAGAAATCGATAGAAACAACAAGAACTTATAGAAACAATAAGCCACCTGAAGTTGCCAATTCTTTAGTTCCAAAGGATTCAACAGCTCAAAAAACCAAAGGTACCCATCAGAGTATGCTGCAACCTACAAAATTAATCAATGAATCATTCATAAATGATAGCAGAAGAGCTTGTTCAACATCGAAAACCAAACCAATCAAAGCAAAAAACAGAATCTCTCACCATCTTAAGACTCTTTCTGGAAACTCCAAATTGAACATCGAGCACTTGGCTACACTTGTTCTTCATACTCTTACACAATTTCCACTCAAGAGCATGTGTGTCTACCAAAAACAAGAAAGAAATATTCAGACAGGAAAAGAAAAAAAGAAACTGACCTGCATAATACTTTAGTAATACGAGTAGAGTCTTCTCCATTAGCTATACTCTGAAGTATAACAGAGCAATTCAAATTCCAGGAATTGTCCTTTGAGCCTTTCATGTACACATAACACCTCGTCTTGTCATTAGCAGCTCCAATGGGGAACCTTAATGGCTAATAATGGAAGTCGAAAACATGAAACATCATACGAAAATGTGCAAACCTTGAATCACCAAAACTGCAATTAATGTTTCTTATCAAAAGAGACTCAGATATTGAACATTCAGCCATTGGAAATCAAATCAAAACCTCAGTTACTTGTGTTTGTTGAGAAATTGATCGTAGATCAAATTCAGAGCACTCAATGTTATATTGGTCAGGTCACACACCATTAACATAAAAACCAGTGGAATCATTTATCCAGTAATCTGAATGATCATACGAGCAAAGAATTATGTGTGTTATACTCATGTCAAGAGAATAAAGTTGGCTCAAGGATAAGGAGAAAGCGAGGAGACCTTCTTTACTGGAAGCCTTCCTTCAAGATCAGGAGCTAGACCAACATGCCATATTCCTATGCCTTTATGAGTTGCAACAGCAACAACCTCGTATGGTCTGTAGTCAAAGATATACAAAAAGAGGATTAGTTTGAGTGTCTCAAGACAGCAACAACCTCGTATGGCCTATAGTCAACCAAGATAGTTTGAATTACCGGCCAATATTTGGAGCCCATGACAAAGCATAAACTGGATCACCTTTGTCTTCTGGTAAGGCTAGTTCTGCTACTGCCAACCATCTGTTATGAGCTTCATCAAACTCCCATATCTAAAACAACAAAATAAATGGTGATTCCTTCTATTCGATTCCCAGTTCAAAGAAAGTGAAATAAAGTCTCAGTTCAAAATATACCTTGGAAGAGTTAAGATGTGGAGAGTCAGAGTTGAAGGCTAAAACAAAGCTTGGTTCTTGCTCTTCACCTTTCATCGGATTCCAAGAAACAGATGCAGATAAACTTGAAGATTTACCGAGCGTCGATAGAGAATCGATCACATTCTGAAACTCGGCCTGCACATAATGGTGAGAAAGAAGACAAGAGTAGAATGATGTACAAGAAATCGATAGAAACAACAAGAAATTATAGAAAGATAAGCCACCTGAAGTTGCCAATTCTTTAGTTCCAAAGGATTCAACAGCTCAAAAACCCTAAGGTACCCATCAGAATATGCAGCAACCTACAAAAATAACCAATGAATCATTCATAAATGTTAGCAGAAGAGCTTGTTCAACATCGAAAACAATGAGTATGAGAGAGACAGAGCAAAGAGAGAATCAATTTAAAGGAAAAGCGTTGGAAGAAGAAAGATACGAGGAAATTGGACCGGAGAGAAGTGTGACATTTTCCCGTAACTTCCTGGAGTTTAGGTATATGAATGTTAGCTTCCTTGTAAGATTTTTGTTGTGATTTGGTTAGACATGTATAATGAAGAGTTTTGGCATGGAATAAAGCAGTAGGGACTTGGTTACCTCGAAATACGAAGTTGGAGACTCCCAAAACATGAGAAATATTCTTGAAGGTTTGGATCAACTCTTGTTTGCACCCTAAGAGGGAAATAAGTATCAGTCACACAAGACAGCTGAATATAAACATATCTATTTCCCATTGTAAACATGATAACATAAGGACTGAACCGAGAAGAAGCAATCAATAGAAAAAGTAAAATAAAAATCTGATTCACCTCAAAGAGGTCGCATATCGAGTGAAATCTCTCGTCATGCAACATACTAGTGACCAAGCCAAAAGTTGAAGCATCTGCAGAAAATCCGCAACTCCTCATTTCTTTGATGAGTTGAGCTGAAGCCCATCAAAAGAATCCTGACAAAAAGCTTCTTGAGCAATAACAGAATTGCCCACTTGAGAAAACCCTTGGAGAAGGGTATCGTAAGTGACTATATATGTCGCCAACCAATCCTCTTTGAGACATCTAGCGGAAGAGTTCCATACCTTGGTCTACTCTCTTAGACTTACAAAATACATTTATAAGTAACAATAAAAAAAGTTACAAAATAGTTCCTAATCATCAACACAAACATATGCTTAGCCTCAACGCAAATCAAAACTCTAAATTTGACACTCTAACAATAAAATTGACACTCGTAAGGTGATTCCAGAACAATAAATAGTCCAGTTATAGCGAGATGTCTCGTTCTTGACAAGACAGGATGACTCTCTGGAAGCAAGCAAGTAGCACATAAAAGGAAACTCTATGATAACTTAATCTTTCCGATCAATGAACATATGTGGTCATAAGCAAAAACAAAAACCAACAATCTATGAGCAATGCAGATGATTCTGCAAAATTGGAATCAGTTAAGCTCGTCAGAAACTTTATCTAATGCTCTTAGTATAGAAAGCCTATCCAATAGAAAAATCACAGCTAACAAACTTCACAACGTCTATATGTGTACTAACTCTGATTCATTAACATGAAAGTAGTGAAATTGCTTTCACCCCAACTCTCGTTTGTAACCCAACTTTCACGACTCTAACCTATCTATGACACTTGTATCCATAACTGGAATTTTGTTTGAGAATCTAGTAATTTTGATGAAAGTACTGAAATTTGAAACGAAAGTGCGATTATGGGCACAATCACAAGCTCGAAAATCCCTAACCACTTCCTATCATGATCTGCAAGACCATCAAAAAAGCTGGGTCAATGCACATCATTCATCACAAAAGACATCAACGAACGATTATTAGCTACACAGGAAACAAAATTGAAAATGTCAAACAGCATAAATCTGGTTTGGGAATCCCAAAAACCAAACTAGTAACCATGATCGATTGTGGTAATCTGCATCGACGGAGACAATTGAAGCACATCTAACCTCAATCGAATCAATGGAGGAGTATATGAAGTACATGAAGACCCTTCATCATTCATTCATATACTGCAGATACTCCTCCAATCTCCGATCGAGAGGAAACTTTCACCTTGGTGGATTTGATGATGAACAAGATAACAATGGCGTCAGGAAAGATGATGATAACAATTCTCTGAAATCACTAAACCGGTATTACATTAACCCAGTAAGTAGTAATAGACTGACAACCGGGTTTAATTTGGTTTGTGTATTCAAAAGGAAAATCAAGGGAACCCCCGGTTTTCCCGAAGATTTTTGTAGGATATCCCGGTTTACGTGTCTGTTTGGTTTATCATGAGAGAACCACTCAAATTTTATTCTCAACAACTCGGTCACATAAAGCTTGGTTTATCATGAGAAAAATGGATTTGTCATTAGAAAATCTAGCGAAAACCATAAATGTCCAACACCGGTTGGGTTAGGTATTGTGTATTAAAAAGGAAAATCACATGGGAATTTGGCTTTCTCAATCGATTTCCCGGTTTATCATACAATTCAATTCACTAAGCATGTGAATGATTATGGTGCATTGATTCAAAAGGTCTAGCAACTATATATGCAACGATTATGGATCATTGATTCGATTTCCCGGTTTATCATATATATAAGACATTTCTTTCTTTTAATTTTATGTACATGCACTAACAAAATTTAAAAAAAAAAACAGAGGAAAGATCTTGCTGGATTTTCATTTGAATGTAGATACATTCATTTTGGCTATTAACATATCAACGTGTCTACGTGTCTACGTGTCTGTTTGGTTTATCATGAGAGCATTGATTCAAAAGGTCTAGCAACTATATACCCATATAGGCATATAAGACATTTATTTCTTTTAATATTAGGTACAAGCACTAACAAACGAAAAAAAACACAGTAGCAAGGACGCCGCCAAACCCTTGTAAACCATCTGCAACTCTCTCTTCTGCAGCCGTACTCTGACTTAGCATGTGCACTTGCTTTTTTTTTTTGGTCTTCTCACAGCTTTGGCTAAGTAGAAAACCAGTAACAACCCTCTCTCTGGGTCAAACACCTGTACACTTTTCTTGTTTCTGTATTTGAGCAATAACTCACAACAGTATATTGAGGTATTAGAGCATATGAAAGATCAGTGGCGGATCTAGAAAAAATATTAGTCTGGGGCACATATCAAACTTTAAATAATATGAGTTTTTTAAAATCTAAAGAATTGCAAAAATAATTTATGAATTGAAGAATACCATTTTCATAGATTTTTATATTTCTAAAATATACTTTAGTATAATAAATTTACTAAATTCACTAAATATAATTTTTATATAACATTTAAGAGTGTAGATATTGTTGGTTTACAAGAGTTAAAACTATTTTTTATATAAAATACAAAAGAATTAATATGTTTTGTATATAAATAAAAGATTGGAATGAAATGTATACAACCAATCAAAAAATATAAAAATATGAAAAAATCAAGAATAAAAAAACAAAGAGATGTGTCATGTATGCAGACAAAGAGAGAAGTGGAAACGTGAGGAAAAAAACTGAAAAAGCAAAATACAATTTGAAGACTCGAACACGTAATCTAGAAATTCTACTAGTGTATACAAATCGCCACTTGACCTAACAAACAATTATGATTTGGGTTACAAAAATTTTCTTTTTCAATATGGAGTATGGGGCACGTGCCCCACCATCAGCCTCTTTAGATCCGCCCCTGTGAAAGATTGTAGACATCGTTTGTAACAACATAAGGTGGATGCACCTTATAAGGACAATAATGACTTTATTTATCAAGAAACTAGTTCTCAGAGCCATGATCATTAATTACCTAAAAAGTAGAAAATTTTGAGATGGCATTGGAAAGTTTACCTAAAAATAAGTTGCAAAAATTAACATGTCTTTTATAGTTAATTTTTTTTTTTTTTGTCTTACTATTATGTTTTTTCCCATAAATAATTTCCAGAATCAATACTCCAAGCAAAGGCAGTACATATAAGATTTCGTCCATTCCCCACATACTACTACTCCGGTGGCAAGAAAAATCGAGATTGTTGACTCTAATAGAAAATTATTGAAGGAGCTTGTAAAAGTGGAAGAGCAGATTTTCGTAACACAAAGACCTATAACATTGGAAAAAAGGGAGAGTAACCATTTCACCAAATATCTTAACAAAGTAGAAATGCAAATTAATTAAAGGTCATAATGAAATTTGAAGGATTGTTAGGAAGATTTTAATGACAAAAATAGTCAAACATCGTATAGTAAGCAGCTATCTTACAGAGTTTGATACACTTGACATGTGAGTAATCGATCGATGGCTAAAAACACTAATTTCACTAGAGACATCTTAATCGTTGAAACAATCACAAAACCCAGTAATAAACATCTTAATCGTTGGCTATTGGTATTTGAAGGAGAAAACATCTACTGTAATGGAGTTGTAACAATAACAACACCGTCTCATGAAGCGCATTGCAAGCCGAATATAGGGTCCCACTTAACAAAGGTCATCGTCAATTCTCCGTAAAAAGACATTTATACCCTTTTATTTTCAAAGAGGAAAGAGAAACGAAAAGGGCATAAATGTCTGCGTCGTATCTTTTCTTTTCCTCATCATCATCTCTTCATATTTTTCCGGTCTGCATCCTGCAATGCATCTTCCAGAATACAAAGACACTAATGGCTTTTTTAGTGATTGGGTCACGATTCGGATCCAGATCTCATAGAAAATTCAGTTCTTCTGATCCAGATTTTGTGATTAGTTAATTTTATTTTATTTTTGGACAAATATGTATATTGTTTTAGGTTTAGTGTTTCAGATCGATTATCCGTTTGAATCAACAGATTCAAATCCTTTTTTAGAAACGGTAAAAGCGGATGAGATTTTCGATTCAAAATTGTGAAAGAGATGGCAGAAGATTAACTGTCTGACCGAGGATCAAAGACATGAAAGTATTTGGCTGTATATGAAAAGTGTTGTAACTGGTAAATAATGTCGAATAAAAAATAATGCATGATTTGATACAGTAATAATTAACGTTATTTTTATATTCCCGTTTATCAAGTTAATTAACGTTTGCTAAAACTGAGGTGTAAAAACTTCAAATTGATTAGTCTAGATATTTATATTATGAATAGAAGAATAGCTACTACATAGGTCATGCATTTCTGGATATTAGTACTTTTAGAAGTTGTTCCTTTAAAATTTAATGTTTTTAAATAAAAATTATATCAAATTTAAAATATATATCTTTGTTTTAAATGAAAAAGGTGAACCAATGAAGAAGATACTTGTGTCTAATCTCTTCTGACGTCATCACCAAAAAACTTCGTTACATATACCATTTCCCGCCTAAAGCCAGGGGCAAAAAAGTAAAAAGAAAACAGTTTAGCAAGTGGTTTATGCACACTACCGGATCCACATACTTGTTAGTAGAGTACAGCCGTTACCTTTGTCCACATAACTGTAACCGCAGCCGTAGGTCCGTCGAGCTTTTGTAGAATAAAGAAGAGATACTAACTGACTCCGACAAAAATACTACAGCCATCTAATTGGCCCAAAAAAGAAAAGAATTTGGATGAGTCTTTGTTTTTTAGTAGTCATATTCCGCTTTCGCTATTGGTTACAAACTGATACTTTTCCTTGTCAATTTGAAAGGTATTTTATGTGTTGGCCTAAAAATCAAAAAGGTATTTTATGTGAAAATTCTTAACTATATTAAAATTTTTAGAAAGATACCATTGCTTTTTTTTTCTCTGTTCTTTCTATTTGTGTTAATAGTCTCAAGTATTTACAACAAATTTCGAGTTACATATGGTATACCGTGAACAAAATTATATTGGTTAAATATATGTCAAGGTTAAGAATATTCCGTAGTGTATATATGCAGTCATAACTCATAAGTAGAAAAAGAAGTCAAATATTAGAAAAAGGAAAACAAAAAATAAGTAAAATGTGTAACAAAGAAAGAAAAGTAAAATGTGTTGTTTTAACTTCAAAAGGAATCAGGGGTAAAAACGGTAACTCAACTACAACAGAGTTTTTGTCCCTTGCACGAAGCAGCTTCCTCCTTAGTCTCTCCCATAATGTGATTTGGACAAAGGATCTTGAGAAAATCCCAATGTTAAGGGTGGAGCGAATCCGTACCTGACTGACATTTTACAGTCCTTTCTTTTGCTTGAGTTTCAAGCACATTTTTCTCTCTCTTTTTTTTTAATTTTTTTTTTTTTTAAATTTCTGAAGTATTTTCTCTCTGATTTTATTTCTACCGGATCCTCAAAACTTTTAGTATTGCCGTTTCTTTTGTCCACGTGACCGTATCCGTAGGTCCGTAACTCGAGTTTTTGTAGAATAAAGAAAATATACTATAACCGACTCAGAAAAAAAATACTACAGCCATCTAATTGGCCCAAAAAAAGAAAAGAATTCGAGTTGGATTAATCTTTGGCTTTTAGTAGTTATGTTCCGCTTTCGCTATTGGTGCTTTTTCCTTCTCAATTTTAAAAGTATGTTTATGTGAAAAAATTCTTAATTATGTTAATACCGGATTTTTTTTTTGTTCTTTCTGCATTTTCTATAGGTGTTAATACTCTGTGTATTTACTACAAATTTAAAGTTACCGACAACAAAATTACATTGGTTGATATATGTCAAGGTTCGTTTCTTGTTTTTACTAATTTTTGTCTTCCACATTTTTTATAGAAATTACGAGATCAAATTTTTATTTTAAAACTAGAAAATGTAAAAAATTTAAAGTAACATATCTTTGTCAAAATATTGGGTTAAAATGTTCTTGAAGTCACAAGTAAAAAGAGTAGTCACATAATATAGAAAGGCAAATATTATAATAGGAACAAAATAGGTAAAATGTGGTTAGATACAACAGAGTTTTTGTCTCTTGCACAAAGCTACCAGTCTCTCCCATAATGTGATTTGTACTAAGGATCTTTGTCAAAATCCCAATGTTGCGTTACATAAGCATTATAATATTTGGTTATAGTATGTTTGTTTTACCCTAAATTAACATGATTAGTTTAATGGAACGAACAATTTGAAAATATTTTCAAATTATAACACGTAACCGGTTAAGAAAAAAAAAACAAAAAAACACGTAACCGGTTAATTATAACACGTCACCGGTTTTCACTTTCCCTCGATACTGAAAAAGTGTACGTCCTCTTCTTTTCTCTCTGTTTTTCGTTCTCGTTTTCTTCTTCAATCGATTTTCTCTCATTTTTTTTTTTTTTTTTGGCTCTGTAACCATTTTTCTTTCTGATTCTAAATCTGAAGCAAAGGAAAGAAGCGAATCGTTTTTGTGTAATCGTTACAGTGGTAAGCATTTTCTGTAATCGTTTTTGTCTCTGAAAAGTAGTCCTCTTCATCCTTCTACTGTCTCTGTTTTTTTTTTTTTGCACTGTAACCATTTTTCTCTCTGAAGCGAATCTCTGTAAGCATTTTTAGTCCTCTTCCTCCTTGTTCTTTCTCTGATTTTTTTTCTGTAATCGTTTTTGTCTTTGAAAAGTAGTCCTCTTCCTCCTTCTTCTTTCTCTGTTTTTTTTTGTTTTTTTGCACTGTAACCATTTTTCTCTCTGAAACGAATCTGTGTAAGCATTGTTAGTCCTCTTCCTCCTTCTTCTTTCTCTGATTTTTTGTCTGTAATCGTTTTTGTCTCTGAAAAGTAGTCCTCTTCCTCCTTGTTCTTTCTCTGATTTTTTTTTCTGTAATCGTTTTTGTCTCTGAAAAGTAGTCCTCTTCCTCCTTGTTCTTTCTCTGATTTTTTTTTCTGTAATCGTTTTTGTCTCTGAAAAGTACTTCTTCTTTCTCTGATTTTCTTTATGTAATCGTTTTTGTCACTGAAAAGTACTCCTCCATCATCCTTCTTCTTTCTCTCTAATTTTTTTTTTTTTTTTTTCTGTAGCCATTTTCTCTCTGATTCTAAATCTGAAGCAAGCAAAGTGAAGAAGATGACAGAGGCAGATCTTAATGTAAGTAAAGACAAAATGGTTTACTAGAATATTGCACCGACTGTTTTGAAATCATTATAAGGAAGAAGGTGTAGGAACCCAGATGTGCGTTAGTACTAAACCAAAATTGAAAGCTTTACGCAACTTGAGTTAGCTATCCTTTGTAAATAAGCAGAATTCCTGAATGTTTAGCCCTGTCTCTGCATTGTCTTCTAATTTTTGTAGATAAAGGCGCTGGGTATGAATCGAATGCATGATTTTTTGTCATGGGTTCATGTTAATGTCATGAAACTCTGCTTTTCTATACCACCTACTAAGTTTGATATGTAATTGTTTTGATTCATTACACTTAGTCTCTTGAACTTTTGTTTGATACACCTCAGGGTATCCCTGCTCAAGCTGAAATCCTGCCAGTTGCTGAAGCCCCGTCTAGTACAGTATTGAACAAGGTTAAGATAATGCTGGGAAAGCTCAAGGATACGTCTCAGAGTTTGGATATTTTCAAGGCAGTAGGTGCTAAGATCGACTCTGAGGTATCAGGTTGCAAGAACATGGCTGCAGAACTCATTGTGCTTTCTTCAACTGGGGCATCAACCGCATCTGCACCAGCACCTACTGCTACTCAGGTGAATAAAGTTCTTATGTGTTATTGTTATGGTTTACTCAGATGTTCTGTAAGTTCTGTAATTGATTCATTCCACTTACTCTCTTGAACTTTTCTTTAATGCATCTCAGGCTATCCCTGCTCAAGCTGAAATCCCACCAGTTGCTCAAGCCCCATCTAGTACATTATTGAACAAAGTTCAGATAATGCTGCGAGAACTCGAGGAGACGTCTCGGAGTTTGAAGATTTTCAAGGCAGTAGGTGCTAAGATCGACTTTGAGGTATCAGGTTGCAAGAACATGGCTGAAGAACTCATTCAAACAGATGTGATTGGTCAAGCAGCGTCAAACCTTGTTGCTGGAACTACTTTAGACTCCACTGTTCAGAAAATTCTTGACATAGGTGGTGGTAGTTGGGACTATGACGCTGTTGTTCGCGCTCTGAGAGCTTCCTCAGACAATCCTGACACAGCCATTGAGTATCTGTACTCGGTATGATTAATATCACTTCTTGATTTTACCTTTTTCTTTGATATACTGTATTTACCTTTGATTTACGATTTTCCAGAACTTTTGCAACATTTGCTCTGTGTTAGTGTCTTGAACTTTTGTTTAATACATCTCAGGGTATCCCTGCTCAAGCTGAAATCCCACCAGTTGCTCAAGCCCCATCTAGTACAGTATTGAACAAGGTTCAGATAGTGCTGCAAAAGCTCGAGGACACGTCTCAGAGTTTGGAGACTTTCAAGGCTGAAGTTGCTAAGATCGACTCTGAGGTATCAGGTTGCAAGAACATGGCTGCAGAACTCATTGTGCTTTCTTCAACTGGGGCATCAACCGCATCTGCACCAGCACCTACTGCTACTCAGGTGAATAAAGTTCTTATGTGTTATTGTTATGGTTTACTCAGATGTTCTGTAAGTTCCGTAATTGATTCATTCCACTTAGTCTCTTGAACTTTTGTTTAATGCATCTCAGGCTATCCCTGCTCAAGCTGAAATCCCACCAGTTGCTCAAGCCCCATCTAGTACAGTATTGAACAAGGTTCAGACAATGCTGCCAAAACTCGAGGAGACGTCTCAGAGTTTGGAGATTTGCAAGGCTGAATTCGCTAAGATCGACTCTGAGGTATCAGGTTGCAAGAACATGGCTGAAGAACTCATTCAAAGAGATGTGATTGGTCAAGCAGCGTCAAACTTTGTTGCTGGAACTACTTTAGACTCCACTGTTCAGAAACCTCTTGCCATGGGTGGTTGTAGTTGGGACCATGTTGTTCGTGCTCTGAGAGCTTCCTCAGACAATCCTGTAATCCCGCCAGTTGCTCAAGACCCATCTGCATCTTCTCAGGTTATCCCAAAACTGAAACCAAGCCTCATCACAGCTTCGCGCATAGAGAAGAGCTTTCAACTCTTAAAGGATATGCAGCCGGACAAATCGTATTTGCACAGGCAAATCAAATTAGGCGAAGCAGTGGATGAGCTGAGAGGAAAGGCTCCGAGAAGAAAAGAGAAATTTCTGTTAAAGAAAGATTCAAGGACAGTAAAGACGACAGAGAAGGGGACCGAGAATCTTGTTTTGAAGAAAGAAGCAATGAGCATTGATCCTGAAATGTTCATTGAGGCCAATTCATTTACAGAGCAGTTTGATATGAGTCATCCTAGCAAGAAGAGCGAAAAGAGAGGTCTAAGAGAGAAAACAAAAAAAGGTATGAAGAGTGCAACTGAACAGAGACAATCTCTGCCTCCTGAGAAGAGTGAAGGTTCTGTAGCTGAGATTGAAGAAGAAGCAAAGCTGCGTGAAGGTATAAAACCTCTTGTTGATGAAGTAGCGGACGAAGCATCAATTTCTCTTTCTCTCATGCAAGAGTTGGCGAAATATGAGAGTGCGGAAAGAGAAGTTCGAAGACTGCTATGGATTATCATGGAGAATGAGTCAAATGAGGAAAAGGAAAGACTGAAATCTCGCTTTGAGAATGCGAAAGCGAGTGGGAAAGCTTTTGTGAGAGAGATGTTGCAAGCATCTGACAAGGAAAAGGCTTTGGAAATTGTGAAGAAAGAGAGGAGGACAACAGATCATGGAGTGCAGAAATTCAAGCTAGAGGTTACAAAGCTTGAGAAACAGAAGAAGAGGCAGCAAGAGAAGGAGAAGCAGGAACAGAAGAAGCAGCAAGAGAAGGAGAAGCAGGAACAGAAGAAGCAGCAGCCACAGAAGAAGAAGAAGAGATGAGACTTGGGAAGTGTCATTGTCTTTGGAAGAGATGAAACCTTTTTGTCTTTGGCTACTCTGTTGAATTCTCCAAGGATAAACTCTTTAGTCTTTTAGTTTTGACAGATAGACTCAAAGTCTCCTGAAACATTGTGTTCTTTAGCCCAATGTTCGATCTGAATCTTGCTTGTGTTCTCAACAAACACAAGTAACTGAGGTTTTGATTTGATTTCCAATGGCTGAATGTTCAATATCTGAGTCTCTTTTGATAAGAAACATTAATTGCAGTTTTGGTGATTCAAGGTTTGCACATTTTTGTATGATGTTTCATGTTTTCGACTTCCCTTATTAGCCATTAAGGTTCCCCATTGGAGCTGCTAATGACAAGACGAGGTGTTATGTGTACATGAAAGGCTCAAAGGACGATTCCTGGAATTTGAATTGCTCTGTTATTGGAGTCAACCATGCAATTATGCAAAACAAATGCATAATTCAATTAATATAGCAGCTCGAATTGACATTATAACAACAATGAGTCCAAATCCATCTTTATGATCTTACAACTACAAAACAATCGTCACACACACGTCACCCCAACAAAACAATTTTGACTTGGAAAAATAAACAAACCCCCAATCAGAAAAATAAACACAGTTAAGCTCTAACTTACACGGTTTGAGAAGGGAACGAGACATTTTTAAGCTCGTTGTGACCTTCTTTGTCCTCTTGCCACAACCATCTTCGACAAAACCTCTTCAAGATACTCACAACGGTCTCTATGGTGTTCGATCCATACACATAACTGTCTTATCGCTTCTCTCTTCTCTTCTCCTAATCCCAACAATGTCTCCTTCAACTTCTCCTTCTCTTTCTCCTCTTCTCTTACTTGACCTTCAAGCTTCTTCTCCACCTCTTCCTTCTCCTTCTCCATCTCTTCCTTCTCCTTCTTCATCTCTATCACACACTTCTTCGCCGTCAGAAGCATATTCGTCGCTTCAACCACTGTTTCCTCGTAGCTTATGTGCTTCTCCTCAAGTTTTTCAGACAGGGATTGGAACCGGTTTAGTATTGTTGAATTCACTCTCTCTGATATATCTTTGATCATACCTCGATATGTTTCGTGGGTTGCTGCGATTTTCTCCTCAAGCAATGCTTGTTCCTCTAAATGCTTAGCTTCTATTCTCTTCAACTCTCCTTCTTTCTCCGTTAACACTTGTTCGGTTACTCTCAGTTTCTGGTTAGACAAACGGAGTTTAACCTCGATGTTACTCATCTTCTCCATCAAACTCTCTATCTCGTCTCCTTTCATCTCTACTTCATTACGTAGACTCTCTACCGTCTCTTCGAGATCTACAATCGCGGATTCCCTCAATGCAACATCTTTACCGGTCTCTTGCATTCTCCTCTCTGTCTCCTCCATCTTCGACATGTACTCCTCCAACATCTCCCGTGCTTGTTTGTAATCATCTGTGAGCTTCTTGATTGTTGCTTCTCGTTCTTCGAACAAACCGTTGATCTGTTTGTGTTCTTGGCTCAGCGTATTGTACGCAGCTTCTTGCTCTAACAACGCTTTCTGCACATCATTTATCTGATTCATTAACGCTGGTTTCTCTTGCTTCTCTCTCTCTAGTTCAGCTTCGGTTTCGTTCTTTTGCCCCTGTAGACAGTTAACTTCTTCCAGTGTACTCTCGTGATCTTTCGCCTTATTCGCAAGCTCTGCTTCCAATCCATCTCTCTCTTTCTTCACATCTTCTAGCTTTTGATTCAGATCAGATTCCGTCTCACCAGCAACTTCAAGTTTCTGATTTAGTTCTTTGTTCTCACTTGTTAACTTCTCGGTTTCAAGTCTTAGATTCCCACAGATCTCTTCTGATTCCTTCAACTTCTTCAAAATCTCTTGGTGCTCTGATTCAACAGCTTCTTTTTCTTCATCAGTTGTTGCTAACTTTCTTTTGAGATCATCAATTTCAAGATTTGCATCTTCCATCTGTTTCTTTACCAACTCTATGTCATTCTCACCCCGCCCGTTTCTCTTGCTCTTCGCATCTGAATCCGAGTCTGAGCTCGAAGAAGAAGAGCTATCGTTCTCTCCTTTCCCATGAACTTTTTTCCTGATCTCACCCGTTAGATCATCGTATTGGTGATACAAAGACTCATACTCTTTGTAGAAGTCCTTCACTAACTCAGCAACCACTAGTCTTTTGGATTCATCTTCCTCAATATCTCCACTCTCAACAATTCCCAAGATTTTCTTCACTTTCTCATCAATTTCTGCATTGTTGATAAAAGTATATTCTTCATTTTAAAACAAGTCTAAAACCAAAAGACCTATGGATTTGACATGATCTTAATAAAAACAAAAAGTAAACTAACAAGTGCACAAAGAAAATTACCAGTTTTTGTTCCTTTGAGTGATTCACCATTATCAGGATGAAGATGAGGCTCAAAGAAAGATTTCAAGGAGTCTCTAATACTAAGCTTTCTCATTTCTTCTCCAATCAAAAGTTCGATATCTGGAACTAACAAATCATGCCCGGGACATCTGGAACTCCATCAAGCAGCACGATCTTTACTTTGCACAATAACACAGAGAAGACATGTGAGAAGAAACTCTAACTTGTTCAAAACAATTAGCAATATTTAATTGAAAAAGATACCATCATTTTCAAATGTTTAGTAAACTATCAACCTGAAATTAGTAAACTAATGTTAATTTGGGGCTGACTTTCAATTGGATAGTAACAGAAATGAAATAAAGAAGTAGATGATTCAATTGGAGCCTGACATGACCAAACAAGTAGATACCAGAACTATAACTATTTAAATATCTTATGACAAAAAGGTGAGATTAGTTAAAAGACAGATGGATCCATCCCCATCCTCTGGTAATAAACATACAAAGTAGTAGTAGATACTCTCATCCAACACCAAACTATAGAGATGAATCTAATAGAAAAAATGATTAGATGCTAATTAAGAAATGAATGGTAGGAGAATGTAGTGGAGCCACCAGAGAAACTTTAGGGGAATGGGAACAAGAAAGCACATAGAATGATAAAAACAAGACAGCTATCATCACCATCATAACCATATGTGTTGTTTCTTTTTATGTCTCTATTATACAAAAACAATAATAGAGGGTCGTCCAAATCTTTCCCAAAAATGTTAAAAATTAGCATTTTCAAACAAAGATGCTACACTAACTAGTAGCAGATCCGAATCCAGATTTAATGGAGTTGCATGAAAGATTAATAACAAAGATCCAAGTACATGAATTACAAATCTGCCAAAAATAGCAATGATTAAGGAACATGAGTAAGATTATTATAGAAACTAAATACCATTGATAAATACAGCTAAACATCACCGAAACCTCTTAAGAGCATAACCTGAGTTTTAGCCTATAATCTCTACAAAAAAAAAAAAAAAACTTCAAACAAAGAAATTCACTAAAAGATGAGCTACTACACCGGATCGAAGAGTTAACAAGAACTAGGAACTTGAAATCGAAGATCTATCAAAACAGAAATATCGAAACTCAGCTCAATCATTAAGTGATCGGAGATCTTTCTTTACCTGGAAGAAGAAGCTCCGGTGACAGAAAACGGTAGCTTAAGAAAAAAAAAAGTAGATATTTGTATACAAAAATTAATGACGAGAAAATGAAACGAATTTATAAAACCGACGAAAGAAAGAGAGAGACAGAGGAGAAGAAAAGTGGTTCGGTTTTGGACTTTTTTGTGCCAGCACAGAAAACGTTAGATGAGTCCAATTTCCAATTATACCCCTCCGTTTTAGAGTTTATTACGTCTTTGCCACTGACAAACCGGTCAACAATATTAACATTTTGACTTTTCTAATATATAAGGATTGAGATAAAAATAAAAAAACATTGTAATAATAACTTTTACTTGTTATAATGGTAGATTACAAAATTTTTACAACAACAATGAATCCACGATCTTACAGTAAATATTTTATATTTTGCAAGATGGGTTAGTGAGTGAATATAAACAAATAAATAACAATTTTGTGAAAAATGGAAAAAGAGTTGATTTAAAAAAAAGTTAGGTGTTAAGATGATCAACCTTTAAGATTGATGATTTCTTGAGTTGATCGTATCGATCTCGTTGATAATCAACAAGAATACAGAGTTGTCTTATGGCTTCTCTCTTCTCTTCTCCTAAACTCAACAATTCTACTTCTCTTCCCTTCACCTTCATCTCAAGCTCTTTTATTCTCGTTTCGAATTTGCTCAAAACCTTTGCTAGTTTCAGTTTCTCTGTTCCTTCTTCCGCAAGCTTCTTCTCTAGCTTTGATAACTTCTCCTTCAACAATGTTTCTTGTGCTTCTCTGCATTCTAGCTTTGCGGTTAAAGTCTCTACCTCGCTCTTCTTCTCACTCACCCAATGCTTCGCTGACTCCATCTCTTTTGCTAATCTAGCAACTCGGTTCGTGGTTTCCTCTGCTTCTTCTAGTTTCTTCATCGCGGTTTCGGATCCAGTGAAACCTTCTTCCAAAGCGTCTTTCATTTTGTTGAATTGGGTTTCGAAAAACATCAAACTTTCTCTGTTTTCCTTGTTTTCTTGAAGCATGTCTCGTGTTTTGATGTAGTCGTTCTTGCTCTCTAAGTGTATTTGTTCAGCTACATGGATCCTCCTGTATAGTATCCTAATATGATCTTCTATCTTCATCCGGAAATCTTCAGCTAATTCTTCCATTTTCCTCTCTAACGCATTTGGATTCAGTTTCGAATCCCGGCTCGAACCAAATGACCAACGTTTCGATAGCTTCTGATCTTCAGAGAACTTGTCAATGGTGTCTTTTTGTTCTTTGAGGAGTCTCTGCTGATCCTTGATTTTTGCCGATAGCCTGCGAAAAGAGAAACATAAAGACTTAAAGCCTGAATATTCGAGAGCAGTCGATTACTTTGAAAATCAAAATGCTTCTATTGGTTTACCTGCGAATAATATCATCTTGTTCCTTGACCAATTTCTTCTGATCAGAAACTTGAATGTCCAATTTCTTGCTCGCATCTTCCATTTCATGATCGCTCTTCGTCTTCATCTCCATATGTAATGAATCGAGCTCTGCGATTCTTCTATCCAGCATCTGATTTTCTCCTCTAAGATTGTCAATCTCTTCATTCAGTCTATTACGCTCTTCCTCTGTTTCTTCTTCCAGATTTTTCAATTGCATCTTCGTCTCTGTAACTTCTTCGACTTTCTTCTCCAACTTTGCTTCAGATTCATCTTTCTGGCTCCGCAATGATTCAAGCTCATGTTTCATACCATTTACCTGATCCATCAAGCCCTTAACACGTTCTTTCTCTTCGACTCTCTTAACTTCTAAATTTCCAGCCAAACCCGCATTTCGTGCACGAAGGAAACCGATTTCTTGTTCTAAATTTTTTAATTGGCATTTCAAATCTTCGATTCTCGATGTTAAACCCAACTCACTATTCCCAAACTTGTTCACAAGTGTTGATATCTCATCCCCTTTCTCTTTCAAAACCGATTCCAAACCGGAGATCTGAGATCTAAGCCCTTTGTTCTTCTCTCCTAATTGCTTACTTTCACTAGCTTTCATCGCAATCTCCTTCTCTAAATTTCCTTTCCGATCACACTCAGCTTTTGCATTACCTAGCTCTTGTTCTAACTGATTCACACGCAAAGTCAATTCTCGTTGTTTCTCTTCAGCCTCATTCCTCAATGCCTCAATCTTGTTTTGAAGCTCACAAATTTCAATTCCTTCTTCAACAACATTCTCTATTTCCTCTGAAGAGTAATATTCCAAATCCGAACTCGATGAAGCAGCACGCGATTTCCCTTTTCTTCTGCCACCACTTTTCGGATCTAAATCTTGTTGGAAATCATCACATGCAGAATAGAGAGACTGACACTGCTCTTGAAGATCGTTAACAATCCCTAGAAGCTCCTTCTTTGAATCCCTTGGAATCCTATTTTTGTTTTGGATGAACTTTAAAAGTTTTGAAACTTTCTTCTCCACTTCTGCAGAGATAACAAGAGAACTAACAAAACCTTACATAAACAATTTTCAAAGACGAAAATAGTATTTGCAATGATTTAATCTCCATTGAGCATTAATTCAAAACAAATCTTACCTGTTTTTGCTCGCTCCATTCTTACGATCCTCGTTCTTGCCTCTGCATTTGAACCTCACCAAACAGAAAGATCAATAAAATGTCCTGCAAACACACAAAATAGCGAGAATCACAAATGTTCAGTATATATCCAAAAGGAAACCTCTGTCATTATAATACGTGACAATAATCTTTTGATTTATGCATTGATGGGAGAAATAATCTTTTGTCCTGTAAAATGGGAATGAACCACATTTCTGATTACTTTTACCCCAAGAAAGCTTCACAAAAAAAACAGAATAGGAGAATGATTTCACGTAACGATACAAATGGGGATCAAATCAAAACAAAGAGACCACTGAAACATCGATTTTGATCAGAAAGATTGGAGAACAGAACAAACTGTATTCTACGATTTACATTGTCTCTTCAAAATTTTCTGCACTTTCTCAGCAAAATCCCAATTCTGTAAAATTGACAGAAAAAAAAAGAAAGGATTGAAAATATTACCAGGTGTGAGATCGAATAGTTGTTTCTTCGCCTTCCTTGGAAAGCTGAAACCAAACAATGATTTAAATCTAATCATGATTTTTAAATTAGAAAGAGAGATTTTTAGCAAAAAGATAGAGCAATATTAGAAGATAGAGCAATATTAGAAGTTGTGATAAGAGGAAAAAAGGATAAATAAATAAAATGTAATGGATTTTTTTGTTTACCAATATTAGAAGACATGTACTCAAAAATCCTAACCTTTTCATTTATATCAAGCCAAAACCTGTTGTTCTTGGCAGTTAAAACCAACTAATGCCTGGCAATTTCCCTCCAAAGCTTTCTGATATACCATCTCTAAGCCTCTCTACTTCATCCCATCTCCCATATCTTGCATACACATTAGAGAGCATCACTTTGTAAACACTTCTTCTCTCTTCTCCACTCTTCTGTATTTTCTCTGCTACAACTTCCGCCAAATGAGTGTTCTCATGAACTTCACAACATGACAATAGTGCTCCCAAAATTCCTGAATCAATTGGTTTTCGTAATGACATTACAAACTCAAATGCTTCTTCTAGTTTTCCAGCCATTCCCATTAGCTTTACCATGTAAACATAATGCTCTGTTTGCGGTTCAATACCAAACTCACTCTTCATCCTCTCGAAGATCTCTTGACCTTTGTCTAAAAGACCCGAATGGCAACAAGTACAAAGAAGAGCAGAGAAAGTGATCTTGTCAGGTTTCAATCCCATCTCAAGCATCTCAGTGAACTTTTCAAACGCAGAGGAAGCAAACCCGTGCAAGCCAAGACCCAAAATAAGGGAGTTGAAAGAAACAATGTTTTTCTCTGGAATTCCAGCGAAAAGACTCATCGCGCAATCCAGAAACCCACATTTTGAGTACATGTCTATAAGAGCAGAGCAGACCTTGATATCAAGTTCTAATCCTAGTCGAATAACATAACCGTGCACTTCTTTTCCGTAAACTGAATCCGATAACTCAGCACAAGACCCTAATACAATCGCCACAAGAACACAATCTGGCTTCTTACCACTCATTCTCAGATCAGCAAACATATGCAAAGCCTCCTTGTGATTCCCGCATCTCGAATAACCAGTTATCAAAGAAGAACACGCAACTAAATCAGGCTCACAGATGCTAGTATACACACTACAAGCAGAAGCTATGCACATGCATCTCGAGTACATGTTCACTAAAGCACAACCAACATAAGAATGAGAATCTAAATTGATTTTCAAACAAAATCCATGAATAGACCAAGCAATGAGTAACAAACTCGGATCAATCAAACCCGTCGTTAGGGCTACCATTGTATAACAATTCGGTACATGTCCTCGATGTTGCATCAAGTTAAACAAATTGATTCCTTCATCCCAAAATCCACAGCATCCATATCCAAGAATCATAACATTCCACAGAGCAAGATCTGGATCTGGTATTGAACAGAACAACTTACTTGCTTCAACGATAAGTCCAGCATTTGAATAAGCTTTAACAATTGCACTGCCACAAATTTGATCAAAACCAAGACCAGACACAATTGCAATCCCATGAATACGTCTCAGTCCCTCTGCATCGAAACTCTCTGAAAAGCCACGAGCTAAACACGCATAAGTGAAGTTATCAGGTCTCGTATCAGAACTCAGCATCTGAGAGAAGAGTGACAAAGAAGTACTAAATTGATAAGCTTTAGCATAAGCTCGAATAATAGAGTTCCAGAGGAAAACACTTCTGTCAGGAAATACGTCGAACAGTTTGCGAGCAGACAGAAGATCATCGTTTAACGCATAGAATCTAACAAGTTGCGTCGCGAAATACGGGTCACGCGAGAGTTTGGACTTGGTAACAAAGCTATGCAGTTTCTGGGTACTCAATCTCGTTTGAAATTTCCTCGAGAACTCACAGATAATCAAACGTAACTGCGTCTGCGAGGCCATTACAAGTAAACGCAAAAATCCAATCTTTAATCGAACAAAACCTCAAACACAGGAGCTCCAAAATCGGAATAAGACTTTTAGACGAAGATGGTAAAATAAAAATGTGAACTTTGCAGAAGCTTAGAGAGAAGTATCTAAAGAAAGCAAAATTTACACATACAAAAAAAATGGTATTTAAGAGGTTTACACAAAAAAGTTATGTTATGGAACTAACTCTGAAACTTTGTGTTAGTTTTAAGGTTCTTGAAAAACCAAGAAGTGTGTTTCAAAGCTATGTAAGCTCAGAGTCAGAAGCAGGACCAGTGAGTTGTCTACGTCTTCCATGGCTCAAAGGACTCATAGGACTCAAAGGCAATCTTGTATCCTTCCTTGCTTTGCTGTTGCTTCTTCCAAATGGACTTAGTGGTGATGATACTTTCGGTGTTGATCTCGGTTTTATAGGCGATGATCCTGGAGACCGCAAACCTGCAATTGAAATGATGATTAATCTATTTGATTTGATCCATCAGAGAGCTTTAGAACTAAGTGGTTTGGCTTATCTGACCTGAGATTGAGTTTCTTCTGTTTTTTATGGTGTCACCACTTTTCTTTAAAGCTGATGTCTTTTTGATTGGAGCTTCTGAGTAAACTGATCTTGTATCTGAGTATTCAGATATTGCATCTAAGCACAATGACTTTGTATACATTGGCATTGTTGGTGGATCTTCAACCACTGAAACACCTTCAGAAACAGATTCCCCTGTTTCTGAATTCTCTTCTTTGTTAAAGTTTGGACTCATCTTCTCTTTCTCAGCAATCCTGTATGAGTAGAGCTGGAATGGTATTTGTGTCACCGATCCCGCGTGAGAACCTGACTCCATTGAGAACTTTTTCAAGAACCTTGCTTCTAAGTCCCAGCAATCAACTAGAGGATTTTGGATTTGGAGGTGACCGTGATCCGGATTCACCACTAGGAACTTCTTGATGTAGCGGAGGATCCGGCATATCGAAGAGAATGTTGGACGTTGATTCGGTTCTGAATGCCAACACCGTTTAATTAAACTAACGAGGTATTTTGGCGAAGGGAATGGGAAAAGAGGTCTCTCTCCCGTTCTTATGTTCTTAGCCATTTTCTCGCCTTGAAGATGGTCATCTTCAAATGGAACTTTACCGGTTATCAGCTCGAAACACACCATAGCAAAGCTATAGACATCAGCTTTATGTGTAAATTTTGATCTCGGAGCTGTACCTTTGAGATCTTGTTCCATCTCTGTTAGAACTTCAGGTGCATACCATATTACAGGATCGGGTGTGGTTGGTCTAGAGGACGCCCGAGAAAAAGACTGATTTTTCACTGAGGTTAAACCGAAACCCGAGATTTTCGCGTGGAAATAACCTTCGGTGTGACTTCTCTCTTTCAAAAGAATGTTCATGGGATTCAAATCTCCATGGAAAATCTCATTGGAATGAAGATATTCCATCCCTCTCGCGATTTGAAGCATTATATCGATCACAACGGGAACAGAGAAAAGATATCTTCTTCTAGGTCCACAATTCTCTTTCATGTAGCTTTTCAAATCTTTGTGCATCAACTCCATGACCAAAGAACATTCTTTCCTTTCTTCGTCATAGAATCCACAAAGGTACTGAAGTATATTCGAGTGACAAAGCGATAACAGAGAAGAAATCTCTGCATTCAACGGCTCAAGATCCCCGAAAAAATGTCTCAACACAAAACTATCCCCTAACCATTGAATCTCCTTGTACTGACCACCACCACCTAATCTCCGCCTCACTTGGTAATCCTTAGAACCAACAAGTATCGAACTCGGGAAGAGCTTACCATTAAACTGTTCCAACCCGGTTAGTTTCTTCAACAGAAAATCAGCTAAACGCTTCTCAGTCTTCCCAATCTCATCGCTCTTGGACTTTCTCTTCTCTTGCAATGCCTCCACTAGATTCCACCTATCTTCCCTCCACGAATGCTCGAACCGAATGCAAATATCCCTCGGTACCAAATACTGTTTCCCATACCTCCACTGAAACAGCTTGGGATCATTCCACTCCCTATCATACTTTCTTGAAAACACAACTCTCCTCCTCTCCATCTCAGCAGGGTCGAGACCCGAAATCTCTCCCGCTGTCTCGATGGCTTCAATCACAGCCGAAAAGTAACAAAGCAAATTGTGAATGTGAAACTCAACACAATCTTTGTTCTGATGAAAGTTGATAACTTTACCCCACCAATCTTTATTAGACATACAATTCCGAACATACATTTCGCCTTCTTTAAAAACTCGATAAAGCTCTCTCAAAGGCTGTTCAAGAGCTCTCCATTTAGTATGCTTCTCTTCAAGCTTCAAGTTGTGTCTGATCTCTTCGGCTACGGTGTTGAAAGCCAAACTGAAAATATCTAACAACAAACAACATTGTCTTTGGTTGATTAAGATATCGTCTTGTAATACCATAAGCGCGTTTAAGCTTCCTAGAACCTCTCCGATTTGCCTGAATTGCTCCATCACATCACAGGCTTGCTTGTCAAGTATTCAAATTTCTCGAATAAGCTGGGAAAAAAAACATAGATTCTCTTAAATTATTTCTAAAAATGATTCTAGATCCAGCAATATTAAGGTATGGAGGAAAAAAAAAACCTGAAATGAAGATCCTTTTTTTTGTTCAAGGATCGATGAATTCTCTTGGAATATATGAAGTCATATGGTTCAACCAAAAGATCAACAATCTTCTCCAACCTGATCATCAAATGAATCCATCTCAAAATTAGGGTTCAAACTTAGGAGAAAATCAACCGCTAAAGAATGGATCTTTACCTGTAAAACTTTGAATCAGAAGAAGCTTCAAAAGAGAGAGAGAAAAAAGAAGAAGAATTTCTTCTCTTCTCTTTTGGGTTGCTTCTAAATTTTTTTACCCAAAGGTTTTCGCTGTCTCTCTGTAACGGTTTTGCAGAGAAAGCTAAATAATTTTTCCAGGACTTTTTTTTTTTTTGTTCAAACGTCAAAGTGTTACGTTTTCGTCAGGTGTTTTTTTCTTTGTCCGCATTATTTGGAACCCATTTACGAAGTGTTCCCGCGAGTTTCGTCATTAATTAATTAATTGATAATGTACTTAATTAGACTTTGATTTGAGTTAAAAAGGAAACAATTAATAATAACTAGGACAATAACTACGGTGTGTTTCGGTCTAAAACGGCGTTGTTTTAACGACTTTTTCGATCTAAACATTGTCGTTTTGTAGTCTCAACCTTATCCATTTGAGCATTTTCTTTCCCAAGTCTTAACAAAAACAACCTTAATAAATTAAGATTGATTCTGACCAAAATATAAATAAGATTAAGGCTGATTAGTCTATATTTCAATTCTTTTACGCATTTGAATCTTTGACCTTCCAACTAGAATTTTGAATGTTAAACTAATAAAAGAAGAGTAGACAATGAGGCATATAATGTTTGTTTAAGAGAAAAGATGACTATTTTGGAAAAAATATGTGAGAAGCAAAATTGAAGATATAATCTTCATTTTGTATACGCTAATAATACTTCATATGCTGGTTTAAGCTACTTTAGTTGGCAAATATATCGGCAATTCTTAACAAAAAAAAACGAGTCATGATATGACGAGTAACAAAAACATAAGACAAAATTGAACAAGTTATGATTATTGAATTGAAATCATTAGTTATACTCTATAGAAGTTAAATATTCATCATTTTTATATCAGTTTAATAAAAGGATAGAGTCAAATCTTTAGGAGTTATCTAGAAGATTTATTAGAGTCCTAATCAAGTTGGGATTAGGTCAAGTGTTGAGACTATATAAGCATATATCGAGTTTGTGGTATAGCTTATGAGTTAAGAGAGATTTGAGATTAAGAGAGATTGTTTTGTGAGCTTTAGTTTTGAGAATTTTCTAAAGTATATCAATAAGAGAGTAATTCTTAAAAGCTTTGTGTTCTTAATCTCCTTTGAATTCTAGATATAGAAATTTTGAAGATTAAAAGGATCATTAGTTCGCAATTCGCGAGGTAGCATAAATTGAAAAGGTTTTCATAGTTGATTATCTTTCCTTCTCTCACATTGTTTGCACAAATCTCTCAAAGCCTTGGAGGATCATACAAGTTATGATCACGCAAACTTCCATTTTTTCCTCAAGTTTGTGATCGATGAAGAGAATTAATCGATGACAACTTCTTGATTCAAGAATCCGACAAAACAAAAAGGTTAGTTCTACCTTAACACTTAAAACACTTTCTAGGTGTATGAAATAGCATTCCCTTCATTGGAATTCATTTTTACTATATCTTTAGAATCAGAATATTCGTTTCGCCAGAATTAGGGAGATATGAGTTAGCTAGTACTAATTGGCCCCAAAACAAAGAGTATAGGCCAACAAATGTCTTCAGTGATTTGATAATTTTTTATAAAGGTAAAATATTTATTAGTTAATGTGATGAAACTTTTAACAAAAGTTAAACTGGAGTTTTTTACTTTTAATTTTAATAATTTATTAAAATTAAAAGTACTAAGGAAACTAAGAAATAGAAACATATAGATGGAAAATGGAAATTACTAAATTTAATTTAGAAATTTGCTGAATGATGAGATAAGAACAAATTTGCTAATTTTAAAGAAAATAAATTGACAAAGTGATGGAAGTGACTTGTGGATTATTATATAAGCCGGATGTTAATTATCCTATACTAATATTTGGGAAGTACATCCTAAGGATCATAATGTTGATTTTGTAAGAAATTACAATATATGCCATTAGAGAATTCTAATTATAAAATTTTATTCCATGTCACTAATATATATAAACGGGTCAAACGGGTCAACGGGTTTAAAGATATTAAAAGATTTTGTTTATATAATACATATAATTCGGAAAAAAAATTCTTCAAACGATTACACAATTAATATAATTCGAAAATGTTATATAATAATCAATTCGAAAATGTAACACAATTAGTAAAAATGTTATATACTAATATATTATTCGAAAATGTGATCGAAAATGTTATTGAAAATGTTAAATAGAAATCCATTATTCGAATATGTCATCAAAAATGTTATTGAAAATGTTATATAATAATCAATTATTGAAAACATTTTATATCAATCCAATTTATAAAAAATGCTATTTTGAATTATAATACTCATATAGTTCGAAAATGTTATTGAAAATGTTATATACTAATCCATTATTTGAAAATGTTTTTAAAATTTGAAAATGTTATCGAAAATGTTATTGAAAATGGAAATTTGTGAATGTTATCGAAAATTCAAAATATTTTTATATCATTGAATTTTTTATATAATTCGAATTTATATTAAAAATGTTATTATTCACGTGTACAGTTAAGCAAAATATATTAGTCAACTTATATCTAAACAAAAGTTATTTTCAACTACAATTCGTAATCTTTGACAATATTTTCAGTTTCCTAAATATCTTTTATCATCAATTTCGTAATTAACGGGTTAATAGGTCATACGGGTCAATGGGTCATCAAACGTATTTTCAAAAATTACCTAAACAATATAATCAAATAATTTTGTAATAGATTAATTAAAAATGATTTCGTAAACAATAATAATGAATATTCATTCGAATAAAATAAGAATTGAATGTTTACCTACACAATAACGCATCATAACTATCTATATAACCATTTTTGAAGGGAATTTTGATTTTTAATTCGTTTGGATCGGGTTTTGACCCGGTTCATTTAAGGAATTCGTTTGACCCGGTTCAGGATTTCAGTACAACAATTAGCAACCACATCGCCATTGATTCCCCTACGTCCATTCCACGTCACTACCCAAAGTTTATCCCGCTTGGTTTACAGGTAACTAAACTAGAGATCATCCAATAATATAATTTGTCTTTATTTTTGATGATGTGGATTAGACCGTTTCCTTAAACCATCTTCGTTTTATTATGAAGAACAACAACAAAAAGTCTTGGTTGAGAATATGCAATGATATTTTTTTTAATTATTTTTGGAATTTAAAATTCAAATTTCATTATGTTGGCAAAAGAAAATCAGATCCTACATGAATCAGGACTCTTTAAACTAATTACCGTAACTTATGTGAGAATTATTCTTCACAATCTGTGTTATCTACTACTTAATAGATTGCATATTACTATATGTATTAATCGAAGATTTGATTATGATATTACAATTATTGTTAGCATTTAAGTTTTAATGTCCTTTTTTTTTGCAGAAGTATCTTACCAAAAAAGATTTACATAGCAATATGGAATATATAAAATGAAAAGTTAGGTGAAGATTCGATTTAATATTTCCGGTGCAAAGGAGTAAAATATTTAAAAATTACTAATATAGAAAAGTAATACATTAAATTTTGTATTTATAGGACAAATTCAAGCTTTGCATTTTTTATTAATGAGTGTAAACTAATAAATATTTTTTGTTTTGGAAACAAATATTAATTAGATTTTGCACTACTACAATTATCGTAATTGTGATAATGCGTAAAAATATTTTTAATGAATAAATAAAAAATTGTTAAGATTATAAAAAATTAATATTTTCTAATATTTCATCATCATAAATTAAATATGCAATTAAGATTTAGATTTTCTTGGTAAATATTTAATCCACTAAAACGTAATTAAACAAAACAACCATATATATATTATAGACTATAGGTAGATAATAAAAACAACCATATATTAAAAATACAAATTGATATACTTAAATAAATAATACCAAAATCGTAATGAGATAAATAAAATAATTATTTGTGAATATTCTCACCGTGATATCATTTATTTGTTTAGATTTTTTTGCGTCTAAACCTAAATTGTGTAACACCATTTTTTCTCTATAAATAAAAGCTCGATTTCTATCAAAGTAGTTTCATTATTGCATTGTTCATTGTTTACATAATCTCTATAAATATCGATGATAACTAATGTTGAATAATGTTTGTGTACAGCTTTTAAAGAAACGGAGTAGCCATGGTGCACTGGTGGTGGTGATGCGTTGCTCTCCCTTCAAACCTAAGGTGTGTAACATGTAATCGATTCTTTGTCGTCGTTGAGCATTTTTTATTTTTTTTGAAATTATTATGCTAAAAAATTAATCTACTATTGAATAATTAGCGTTACCAAAAAACATTTGATCGATTTCATGGCGTTAATTAGCGTTAATTATTTAATCACAACTTCGAAAGGTTATGGTGGTGCAACCATACATGCGGCAAAGCGGATGGTTTTAGTGGTGACGGGTTATTTGTTATTGTTATTTATTATATAATAATTTATATTTCTTACTTTTAAAAAGTTTCAAATATAAGAAATATTTTAAAAATTAAAAATCAATTATTATAAATATTTGTACTTTATTGAAAGGTAAATATTATAATTTTTAAAAGTTTATAAAACGTTAAAAATATTTATAATTTTATAATAATTAAGAATATATATATTATGGAAACTATTTGAAATCAAACTTTTAAATTGATTTGAATTTGTCTTTTAAATAAAAGTATTAT